ATTTGTTTTCTTACATGTTCCAGGATCTGAATGGGAAATAAAAATAAATGTGCTATGAATAAAAGGATATGTAGGGTATATATGCGATGACAGCAACCCAATGACAAATAATAACTAAATACATCTAAAGGGTAACATACAGTTTTCAACAAAAGACAGCTGTTCTAATATGAATCATTTTCAAAGGGTTTTCTTGAACTAAACTCGTAACTCATTGTCTGCTTTTTAGTCATTTGAAAAATTAATCAACCATCTTTGCGTGTCTTAGTATTGATTAAACATCAGAAGAGGTCAAACGGTCAGGTAAATAATTAAATTGTCAATATTTTTTATAAAGTAATAAATAAAATGATCACTACGTACATGCAAAAAAGCCATAAACATGCAGTTTTGGTAGAATCAACCTAGATAATTTTAATCAATCTCCGAAGAAAACATTTGCAGATCATCTCGGTTTTTGGTGGTGTTCGATTTTTCTCGGTCATTAATTTTCAATGTTGTGTTTTGTATACTGTTGTTTGTCTTTTGGTCGTTTTCTGTTTGTTTTTTGCCTTGGCGTTGTCATTGTCAATTTGTCTTTGAATTATGAGTTTGAATATCCCTTTGATATCTGCCATCTCTCCTTTGCAGCTGATTTTACATTTGAAAAAAATAAAAACTATAAAAATAAGAAGATGTGGTATGATTGACAATGTTACAACTCTCCACCAGAGACCGAATGACATACAAGTTAACAACGTCTTACCATGGAAGTATTATAATGACCGGTCTTATTTTACTTCCATGGTCTTACGAAACTAATATTTCAAGATAAACTTCGATTTTACAGGTTGTCATATTTAACCATTTTGAATTTAGATAAAATCGTTTATTCCCCTATCTGCACAACTTTAAGCTGTTTAGTATTCCTGAAATCCAAACAGCTAAAGGTCAAATTGGCTAGTAAATAAGCCCAAACTTTCACAGACATAGGAACATGTCACTAGAATTTGAAGCACATCTGATAAATTTCTTCAAATTATCAGTTGGGAGAAAAAATAATGTGATAGTGCAGTGTTATAGATGAAAACCAGAAGGAGTTTCCCAGCTACCATCGCATCGAAGGGTGATAGCGATAAGATGAGATGTAGCTTTGAAACATTCTAAAATTTGAATGACCATAGATTATCTATTTATCGCTGAACATGTATTTTTCAAGGCAACAGTAATAACATTAGTTTTAGCATCACCACATGCTCATTCCACTCGAATGAAGAAAAAATAACCACCGAGATTGGTTTAGATGGAAAATTATCACTCAGTGTTTTTTAATTCATTCTTCAGACTCTAAAAAATATAACATCTTTAAATTGAAGGTTTTGCTTTGATTTTCTTTGTACATTTGCACTTGTCAGAAAACTTGATATGGGCAGTTTTTGTACATGAATTGAATCATCTTTGGTATTTAGAACCCCGCACGTGGCTGGTGTGTTTGACTCCGATCTTAATTGACTAGGACATCCAGTTTTCCTTCGAAGTTCGGCGGTTATCACCGGACACTCTTAATTGTTTCCTCAACCAATAAAAAACTGACCGCCACGATATAGCCCAAGAGTGCTGAAAGTGGCGTTTAACAACAACCAATCAACCAATCAATCAATAAATCCAGTTTAAAACAATTACCGCATATAGCTTTAGTTCAATGACCAGTCACTCACAAACAATTATAACGACATTTATAGAATTCTCATCTAAATGAAACTGACAACTTATCAATCAGTTTTATTATGGAGAATTACTTTAAGCTGTGACCGTGTTTTAAAATGCATTCAGAACATCAGTAAAAAACAAAAACAAATGTCAAAAGCAATTATTTGTAACCGTCGTAAACCTCGGTAAAGTACAGTTTAGCTATTTTAAGATTCATTATACTAATTTCGGCCTTTAGAAAAACAATATGAAGTTATTATCAGAACTTAATTTGAAAACAAGAGTGCACATTCATAACTGTCTCGCTTCTTTTACTGAACATGATTGAGTTTAATTTGAAAGTCTTCAAGATAAAGGTTTTACTACAAATCATCCATGTAAATGAGGTCAAGGTCAGATGAAGCCTGTCAGACAGTAATGTATATCTAACAATAATTGATTACACCAAATATAGTTAATTATATGTCTCTGGTTAATCTTTTGCTTATATTATCCAGAAACATATATACACATGTATATATGTCTCTGTATTAATTAAGAAACAGACATAACCACGAAAACTTAGGGAACTACCATCTCATAAATTGTCATCCTGCCTTTTTTTTGCCAAGTTGCACATCCTGCCTTTTTTTTACTCAAAACTCTTGTCCTGCCTTTTTTTCAAATTTCATCCTAGCCCCCCCCCTAAAAATCAAATGGGAGTTCCCTTAACGTTGATCAATAAACCAGATGTTAGATGACTCGCCCAGACGGACATGTACACCCTAAAATCATTCCATACATAGAATATAGCTGACCTATTATTAATAGTACATGAGAAACAGCCCTAACCATTACGTCTTTACATTGACCAATGAACCATGAAAATGAGGTCATGGTCAGATGAACCCTGCTAGACAGACATACACACCTTTCAACCATTCCATAAACCTAATATAGATGACCTATTAGTAAAAATATCTGAAAAACGAATTTAGTCATGAAGCATTGACCAATGAACCATCAAAATAAGGTCAAGATCAGATGAAGCCTGTCAGACAGTAATGTATATCTAACAATAATTGATTACACCAAATATAGTTAATCCAGAGACATATAATGTCTCTGGTTAATCTTGCTTATATTATCCAGAAACATATATACACATGTATATATGTCTCTGTATTATTTAAGAAACAGACATAACCAGGAAAACTTAGGGAACTACCATCTCATAAATTGTCATCCTGCCTTTTTTTTGCCAAGTTGCACATCCTGCCTTTTTTTTACTCAAAACTCTTGTCCTGCCTTTTTTTCAAATTTCATCCTAGCCCCTAGTCATGAAGCATTGACCAATGAACCATCAAAATAAGATCAAGATCAGATGAAACATGCCAGACATGTACACCTTGCATTATCCATACCTCAAATAAAGTTGACATATTTGGCTTATAGTATCTGAGAAATTGACCAAACTACAAAGCTTAACATTGCCTAATGAACCATGAAAATAAGGTCAAGATGAAACCTGCCAGACAGACCTGTACATCTTACAATCGTTCTATACACCTATAGTAATAGAAACAGACTTTACCAAAACTTCATGTTGACCAATGAACCATAAAAATGAGGTCAAGGTCAAATGATTCTGCAAGAAAAATGCAAGACAAAAATGATCCTTTAATCAATTAAATTTCTAATAATCCTACAGTACTGATAATATTTTCTTTCCAACTTTGAGACATTAATTCTCTTGCTGTTGTTTTCAATTTTGGCAAATTTCAAATCCAGTGTTGTGCTATGCATACCCAAACTCATATTTCAAAGTATTGGAAAGGATGATACAGGTATCTGACAGATCTAAAAATGGACTACAAACTGAAATTCATAGCTGTAAATATGCTGACTCAATATAAAGTCATTTTGTTCAATACTTTTCGAGATAAGAGTGACAAACAATTTTAAGTCCATTCAACATATGGAAAAATCCAAAGTATCGGCAAACTGGAAATAGGTGTCTGACAGATTTCAAAAGTGTGCAAACATTACAAAACATAACTGTCATGCTGCTTGGGATATTTGAAGTCATTATGTTCAGCAGCACTGAAGAAAATGTGTGACAATTTTTTTTTTATTTCATTCAACATATTGAAAAATTGGAAATATCTGCAAAGTAGAAAGTAGGTGTCTGACAGACCGAAAAGTGCTCAGACGTTTCAACTTGTCACTATCAAGGTGCTTACCAAATATAAAGTGTATAATTATGCGTATCTTTCCTTAACAAAAATGATAGCAAATTGACAAGATAGATTGTTGAAAAGTAGTTTGTATTTTAATGTGGTTAAATAATAGAAAATATAACGGAAAAGTGAAAATGGAAGTTTACAAAAGAAGGGAGTATGTAATATGCTATGGTTGGCGTTTTTTGTTTTTGTTTGTACTGTGGTTTTTTTTCTATGTCTTGATTGCCATTATTGCCTTTTATATAAAAAAAAAAAAATGGTTTAAATGACACTTTACTCTACCATCAAAATCATTTCACTCCTCTCATTTTCCATCTTCTTTGTATAAAGATTAATTTTCTTAAAAATCTACTTATATTTTATTTCTTAATTGATAATCATTGAATAAGTGTTCAAAGAATTCAAATTTCAAAATATTCAACTCGCTGACAAACAACACATTAATTTACATTGAGCATAGAGCATGACTTAATTATCAGTACTCTTGAATATTTTTGGATTTTTAAATTTTGGATAAGTTATTATTTTTTATTACACTGATTTTATTTTTATGGAAATAAAGTAAACAAGAATGTGTCCATAGTACATGGATGCACCACTTGCACTATCATTTTCTATGTTCAGTGGACCGTGAAATTGGGGTAAAAAATCTAATTTGGCATTAAAATTAGAAAGATCATATCATAGGGAACATGTGTACTAAGTTTCAAGTTGATTGGACTTCAACTTCATCAAAAACTACCTTGACCAAAAACTTTAACCTGAAGCGGGACGAACGGACGAACAGACCGAAAAACATAATGCTCCTAGGTGGGGCATAAAAATGCAAGAAACTATATCTTTTTCTACGCATTCTCAATTCTTTTTGGTGCAACGTCATCAACGTCTTGACAACACCAATTGTTGAATGATTTCACATGTGAAATTATCTGTTTTTATTTTACTGAGAAATCACAGTATTTCATTACAAACAATATCATAAATCAAAATAATGGCCAATGTTCTTAATGGCTTTCTTTAAAATTATTACTTGAAGAATTGATGACTTCAGCTATATCAAGCATGTGAGAAATGAAAGAAAGCACTTAATTCAATCACTAACTTTTAATTTTCAACTTAAAGACAGACTTTAAATAATTCAGAAAACAGATAATCAATTTACTAATGTCCCAAAAAATAATACAATTTATCACATTTTGCTTCAGTTTTCAATTTTTCTATAGATTATTGTAATTGCATCAGAAGATTTTTCAAGAGACGAGCTTCATATGTAACTGTATTCTTGCCTGGATGCATAGGTTCTGCTTCTAATGGCTGTTCAATGACAGCTTTCACATCTTTTCCATACACTGAAAAGATAAATGACATTTCAAAAATAAATTCTCTATAAAATGAAAAAAGTTTAAGAAAGTTTACAGACTAAAAATTATTTCTATGTGATAAAATGAATTTGTAAAGGATTCCATGGAACCCTGTGTCTCTCTTTTTCGATTGCTGCTGTCAGTGATAAAATGTAATGTTGACTGTAAAATCAGTAAAATACAGAATTTAAAAAAAAAATTGAAACTTTATCTTTAGATGGTATTTCTTGATCTTGAAGATTAGCTTATTTTCAAGTTTCATAACAATCCATGACAGTTTACAAATTAATCATGTCAAAAAAGTGTAAACCAAGACTGTCTGTTAACTGCAAAAAACTTAATTCCATTTATTATAAGAAAAATTCTATGAAGGTTTGACAAATCAATTGGTGTTTAACAAACTTTTACCCCAGACTGTATCTACTTGCTAACTCAGCAAAAAACTAAGTCCATTTATCAGTAAAATATTGAAAAAAGGAAATAAATCTTTTCAAAATATTGCTCTGGATACTGTCTTTTGGTCATAAAGAATCTTCTGTCAAAATTTCATAAAATTCCATACAGGTTTGATCACATTATTGATGTTTGAAAAACTTTAACCACACTGAATGTAAATGTTGATGCAGCAGCTGTCACCAACATAAATATCACAGGCCTGACAAAAAACATCAAAATATGTATGACAAAGTTTCTGTATTATCTTTATCATGCAGGCTTGAAGCAGTCCTTGAGGCAAAAATTGTGGACATAAATTATAACATTAAAAATAAAAGTACAAAAATGTATTCATGAACAGATTAAAATGACAGACCAATTTTAAAATCATGCAAAAATAAGACTTTTGAAAAAGGAACATTAATTGGACACTCAAAATGCTTCAGGACACCTTTGTTAAAATAGAGTTAAGGTTTATTTTAAAGAAAATTAATAGTTATAATAAACTTATTTCATTTTAAATGAAGAAAGTACAAAAAGTTCAATAAGAATTGTAAACATTCACAATTCCTCAATCTTCTCTAATTCAGATTATTCATCAGCTTTATTGGAAATGCTTTACTAATTATCAATTTATTAATCAGTCTTATCTTTTCATTTGTGTTGCTGTATATGTTAAATTCAATTTAATTCTCTTTGAATAAGTGAATAATTTGATCTCATGTGAATCCCTATTCATGTAAACTTCAAATTAACCCCTTATCTAAAGATGGGTTGCCATGTACTAGGCGTGTTCAGTTACTAAAAGGAAAAGAGTGTCAATATTGAAAGTGAAACAAGGGTGAACCATTTTGTTGACTATTTCGATCCACAAAAAATCCTTCTTATACAGATTAAAACGATGATTAACTTATTTTATCAACCTTTTACATGAAATCAAACAGACCTACAAAAATTGCACATGGTTGCTATCTATTTATATTTATATTAATGTTTATATCAGGTATATATATGACCGTCAGCAGTCTTCGGAGGTTATCTTGATGGTTAATTAGATGGCATCTAGACTAAAATACACACGAAATGATGATATATATTATGGAGTCCATGCATTGTTAATTGTTTATTTTAGACTTATTATAATTTGGATATACATTTTAGTATGTTACAAATCAAATATGAGAATTTGAGTCAAATCGCTGAACATGAATTTGACAGCTAATGCCCCTTTAATCTGATGAGCATTATTTCAAGCTTCATGATATATAAGGTCGAGAAACTGAGATGAAATATATGACAAGGTTGCTGTTTGAATCATAAGTATCTGAAACTATACAAATGTCGATTTTTTCCAAGAATCCACGAAGACCATATTCGTAAATGCATCAGATATTTGTCAAATCTTTTTATTTCTCCATGAAATAATGTAATCATGATAGCTATAGGTATATTTTTGGTCAAAAAAATTTATGATAGGGTATGTATTTTTGCTATCTAAAATATATGAAAAGAGTGGGGTACTGAATGTATCAGCTGCTTACCCCTACCATAAAAGAATTAAAGTGCCTGTCTAGTTGATAAGTTATACAATGATATAATTCTTCAGGACTTTAGGCGTAAAGAAACAAACAAAATCTTTAAGTCATATAGGTTACTGTTTAAACAAACATAATTCTAATTGATCTTTTTTTTTAAACACATGCACTATATGTTTCTGCTCTTAAAAATGTATGGAAATTTGCCTTTTTCATTGAATTTCAAAATTGGTGGAAAATTGAAATTAATGCAAATTTTTTAGATCATTAAAAGAACACCAATATGTAGATTTAAAAAAAGAAAAAATCTTCTTTTATCTGTTCATTGTTTTAACTATGATACATTGTGGTAATATCCTTATAATCCTTATTTTAAATTTAAAATAAATTGGAGCAATATTTTTGCTTTACACATTTTTTTGTGAGTAGGAAATAAAAATGATGATCTATTTTTTCTGTTTTTTTAGTAAAACCCCATCTTCTCACATTTCACTTTAAAAAATTCAATTCTTTTGGAATGAAATGATATAAACTGTATTTGAGCAATGTATACAAAATTTCTATATCGGTTTATAGGTCACTACTACCTTACGGCCTTTGTTCAGACATGCTGATATAAATGATTACTTTTACAAAAATAAAATTTATATGTCATACTGACTTTTATCGAGAATTAATATCATTTTTGTCCTCAAGGGTTTGTCATATTTCACAATGATAAAACTAGAATTCCAATTAAAATGTCATATTTCTGTATATCTATGACAATACTTGAAGCTTTATAAAATGAAAAATCTAACTGATCGGAATAAAGCAATCAATTTCTGCCTGTGAGTAAAATATCAAACGTAGCCTTAATAATTTCAAAGCTTATTTGACATTAAAGAATAAATAGAAATAATAATATATCTTATCTTTTAAACATCTTACAAAAACTTCAATCTATAAACTGGTTTTGGTTGATTTTAAAACGGTTTTTGGATCAACATTTATATAAAGCTGAATTCAAAAACAAATTACACAATAAATAAGTGTTCAGTTTATCAAAATAAAAATTATTGTAAGCTATTACTCACTCATTATGCATGAAAAAAATATAATTAAAACTTCATATATGAGCATGACAATTTTTAAAAATATGTTTTTTGAGGCAAAAAAAAATAGAAAAGCAAAGGGATTTAAAACCTATCACACAGTTTGTAAAAAGGGGAAGATTGGTGTCATATAACAAGAAGCTATCACTTATATTTCCTGAGGGAAATATGATGAAAATTTTATATCCATGGTCATCCATGCATGACATTCTAATGATATTTTTTTTTTGCAAACAGGAGTTGAACAACAAATTTTAAAGAGACTGAAAACCTATTACACAGTTTGTAACAAGATGAAGCTTGGTGACATATACCAAGAAGCTATCACATATGTAGTTCCTGAGAGAAAAATGTGATTTAATATTTTTTTTTATATACATACATGACATTTCAAAGATTGGTTTAAAAGGAACTGAAAACATGTCAGGTGTCATATATCTAGAAGCAATGATTTTCTGTTGCTGAGAAAAATTAAAGATGCTGACAGACAGAAGTAAATCAGTATAACTCCCTCATTTGGAGTGGGGGTATAACAACCTCTCTCTTTTAATTTATGTGGTTCTTGCAAGTGCTCTAATTTTCCCACTAAAAATGTATAATAAAACTGCAATTGTTGCCATTTTTGTAATATGAAACATCATTAAAAAGTCTGAAAAGGGATGGGGCGGGGGGTCCTTCAGGTCTGTATTCTTTAATTTTTTAAACCATTTTTCTCTCTTCTTTATTTTTTGGTACATTATTCTGTATTCTGTAAACCCCATCTTAAGGATGTTCGCTACTCTGTTTCTTTTGAAAAGACTGTTATAAATTGATAGTATATAACCAAAGAAAATAAAACAGCAGAAAAAAATGAAGGGTCTCTGTGCTTGTTTTCGAGATATAAGCCATTGAAAATTTGGGGGGAAATAATTCTCTCTAGGTTTTTCATACATTTAACATTGGCACCTTTTTTATTTCAAAAACTATGAAAAAATAACATGGATTTAATAAGATATTGAAAAATGGCTTTTCAAACTGTATGAAATAAAATTATAAAAAGAAAAGTACAGGTTAGTGGGCAAAATTTTTATTGGCATTACATGGATAAACCCAGAGGATTCCGAATATCTGGCAAAAATTCAAAAACAAGAGGAGTGAACATCCTTAAATGAGTTCTGCTTATTAAAGCAATTGTTTTACTTACTTTCACAGCATTCCAGGAATCCAATGCATTCTTGGACGACTTGGTCCTTCATCATAATCATATGCTTAGCCATATTTTCTATGAGCGAGAGGAAACATCTCTTGGCATAGTACCATGTGTCTGTACCTAACTTCTTGTTGTAAGGTTCTAAACTTTTGATTACTCTAGATATTCCAAACTCATAATTTCCTTTGGCACAGTATAATGTTCTGCAATGAAAAAAAAACCCAGGTTTTTAAATCGATTTGAATTTTTAATTTAAGGGGACATCTTATATCAAATGTCACTTATATAAAGGTTCGAATTGACATCATTTGATCAAGAGTAAATTCCATTTTGTCCCCATGCTGGAGGTCCAAGTGTGCAAATTCCTTCATACATTAGCAAAATTCAATTAGTTATACTAAGCGCTTGACTTTAAAAATATGGCCAAGTTTTTCTGAAAAGTTTTTATTTCTTATAGTCTTGCTCAATTATTGCTATGATCAAGTAAGGATCTCTAATTAGACATACGTGTATCGCATGTTCATTTTTTAAAGTCAAATAAGGAAATCAACAGTTTATCGCTCCAAAATGGCAGCCAAGGGAAATAACTCAAGTTACTTCATTCAAAACCTTTCTAATAAGCATCATACATACAATATAATGTATAAATCAAACTGATTTATACATTATATTGTAAACAAACTAGAACTAATATCAGTTCTACTTTTTTGGCATAGATAGATTTGTTCTGCCTAACAGATGTTCCACTGGAAACTTTGTAATAAACAATGTCATAATATCTGTTCCTGTTGGAATTTATTCCATTAGGAACATATACTGTAATATTTATTCCAGTGGAAATAATATTCCAGAATATATTTCCATTTGGATCTTATATAATGAAGGAAATTCTATTTCAGGACATGACAAAACAAATTGTAATGGTTCACAAGTCTCATAAACTACATTTGTTGCAGGCAAAATTTGTGATGGCTTCACAGAAGTTCATCTACAAAGCACGGTGTTTACACAGGAGGAAAAAAACAAAGAAAAGCAATAAAACCCAAAATTAGATTTGTCTGCAGTACACAATCTTTACATTTGCTACATTTAGAATATGTTCTTATAATTAATGCAAAAAAACATTTTTAAAAATCAAAAAAGTTAAACTTTCTACACTTAAGCAAAAATTAAAAGGTGTTTTCAATTAGAAAAGTATGCAAACTATGGTTAATTAAAATAAAAGAAGAATGTGTCTGAGGACACAAATGCCCCCGCTCAAGCTTCAAACAAACTAAAATTGGACAGATGGATGGATGGAAAGACGGAACGACAGAAAAACTGAAGGACGGAAGGATGGAAATACAGAAGAATGGAAAGACGGAAGGACAGAAGGACAGAAAGACGGAAGGACGAACAGTCAAGGGTAACACTTAATGCTCCCATCACCTATGGCGGGGGCATAAAAAAATCCTTGATTAACTATTCCCTGACACAGTCAAATCTGTTACTGTTTAAATGACCTAGAATTGGGAGTAAGCTTGGCAAAACTAGAATAATTTAAGGGTTAAATACTGATTAACTCGTCAAACTGTACTAACACAATGTAGAAAGACACGGAGTCATGTGTGTAATCAATTCTATAAAACCAACACCAAACTTAATCAGTTGATTAATTCTGTGCTCGTTCAAGGTTTAAAGAATTAAAGAGGATTTTAATAAAGGTTGTAGTGATCCGCTTTCCATAGATGTAATCAACTCGGATCAATACCAGTTTTGCGCCATATAAATAACACAATTAAGACATAATGCTACTGTGAATAGATGTTTTGCCGTATCGAGAGAGAGTTCTCTATATAAATCAGTTTGATTTATGTACTTTTAAATATCACACACTAACTTGTTAGATATGTGATAATCAATAATTGCTTTTTCTTGTGTAACTTTCAGGATTATTTATAAAATCATTCTTTTAGTAACTTATTATAGAAAACCATAGTTCTTAAAATAATTTTAAAATTGATCAAATGTTTTTAGAATACTCCAATATTAACTGCTGTGTCCGTTCTAGCTTATATAAAGTGGGTTTATCTATAGAACATTGAAGTATTCAAAAGAACTAACTTAAACAAATCCTATGAAAATGTTATGAAAAAGAGGCAGAAGATACCAGGAAGACATTCAAACTCATAAGTCTAAGAGAAACTGACAACACAATGGCAAAAAAAACATTATCACAATACACTACATATAGAAGAAAAATAAAGACTGAGCAACAGGAATCCCACCAAAAAAACGGGTGGATCTCAGATGCTCCAGATGGGTAGACAGACCTGCTCAACATGTGGCAACCGTCATGTTACTCATGGTAAATACAAATTTTGTTATAATTCTGATTGGGTGATGTCATAATCAAGGTTAGCTAAGAGGGTGAGAGAGCAGATTATTATCCCTCGAATAGACATTGTCAACCTTGGCTTCACCTTGGTTAACATTGTTTTCTTGGTGTAACAATCTGCTAATAACTGGTTTCTTATCACAAACTTTAACCTTTAAACTATGCAAAAATTCCAAAGTCAATGAACCATTACTGAGGGGGACGGGCCATACAATCTCTAAGGTCATATGAGATGTGCCAATGCTGATACAACAGAATGCTAATTATCATTTACTTACCATTAGTGGTTCCCCTCAAAGTGACCATGATTGAGAGGACTGGGCCAAATAATTTCAAAGTAAATGAGACGTGCCAAAGTTATTACAACAGCACACCAAATATCGGTTACTGACCATTAGTGGTTCCCCTTAAACTGACCAAATCACATATTCTTACAAATAATTGAAGCCCAAAATGCTGTCAGAAACAGCACGCCTAAGTCTTGCCTTTGGGACTCTTTTGAGGTGTAAAAAAGCAAACAAATCTGTCTTCCTTCTTTTAAAATCTTTCAATAATCTAATAGAAGTATTTACACTTGTAAGCAAATTTGTCTGCCATTTCTTAAAGTTCCTGTAAAATTTGGTATCACAATTTTAAAAATATGGCATCATCATTAAAAAGTGATTGTTCCATGATGCCAAAAGGTTATTCAGAGACAGATCTAGGATCATTCGGAACAAGTTCAGCTAAATACCTAAAAGTGTAAATATAGATATAAGAAGATGTGGTATTAGTGCCAATGAGACAACTCTCCATCCAAGTCAATATGTCTATTTCAGGCAGTAGAAAACTCTCAAAGGATCAGATATTGAAGAAAAAAAAAATAAAAATGTATTAAATAAGAAATTGTATCAAAAGCAAACATTCATGACATGAAAATTGTCTGTTCATTTCCAGCAGGAGCTATTATGCAAATTTATGCAAAATAGAGAAGGGAAATATAGTTTGATATCTATCAGTATGGAAAAACATCAAATATAACTGATGAAATTGATTACGACTTGATGTCAGATATGACAAATGTTATTTACACGAAAATGTCAGCTTGAGTCTGAACAGGTCCATTAACAGATTAAATATTTGTCTGTTCAGCCATCAATTATTTTCTGATCGGAATTGTAACAATTTTATCCATTATCATTCTCTTTATAGTTTATAAATGCAATCATCTTGTACAAAAAAATAGAAAATAGAAAAGAATTTAATACTCTATCAAACAGCTAAAATAATTGTGTTTTTGTTATCCAAACACATCAGGAGATTTATTTGATTGCAATCTCGTCTAAACAAGGATTTACAGACTGGATAAGACGAATAATATCTACATTGTTTTAAAAAATGACTATATTAAGCTGTATCATTACTATTTTCGTTTACAAAATGAGATGGTTATGACAGTGATAAACTAAACTGATTGTACTGTAGATTAGAGGCAACAGTAGTTATGGATGTTCAAATCACATAAATCCATTAGAAAATACAAATCTGTTCAAATCTACCCTATGACAAGATTGACTTTACAGAGTTAAGAATCCTATGACAAGATTGACTATACAGAGCTACCTACCCTATGACAAGATTGACTATACAGAGTTACCTACCCTATGACAAGATTGACTTTACAGAGGTACCTACCCTATGACAAGATTGACTTTACAGAGTCAACAACCCTATGACAAGATTGACTTTACAGAGTCAACAACCCTATGACAAGATTGACTTTACAGAGATACCTACCCTATGACAAGATTGACTTTACAGAGTCAACAACCCTATGACAAGATTGACTTTACAGAGATACCTACCCTATGACAAGATTGACTTTAAAGAGTCAACAACCCTATGACAAGATTGACTTTACAGAGATACCTACCTTATGACAAGATTGACTATACAGAGATACCTACCCTATGACAAGATTGACATTACAGAGATACCTACCCTATGACAAGATTGACATTACAGAGATACCTTCCCTATGACAAGATTGACTATACAGAGTTACCTACCCTATAACAAGATTGACTATACAGAGTTACCTACCCTATAACAAGATTGACTATACAGAGTTACCTACCCTATAACAAGATTGACTATACAAAGATGGAAAATCTTTTTCTCAGGATCATCATAAGCAACTTGCTCTTCTTCCTTTTCTATCTTTCTCATCAAATCTTCAGCCTATGAAGGACAAATATTTTATAATGCTTATTTTGTAAAAAAAATCATCTAACAAATTATTAAAGATAATAATATTAATAATAGGTACGAATTTCACTGCACCAGGGCAGGTGTGCATTCAACAATTAAGCTGACTTTACTACAGTGATGCTCTTGGCCAAAGGTCTGTCAACATCAACTAGAAATCCGTGTTGACAATTTAGAGCTAAATATACCTTTTCCTGATTTGCCTCCTTTTTAGGACATCATAGTACATAAATGAGACAGCAACACAACAACACAAAGCCAAAAACAAATTCCTGTTAGTTTTAATTTCACTGCAGAAAATGTCCAACCTACAGTTCAGCATAGAATTTTGTATGATATGATATCATTGATATCTATGGATCAGATGTCACAAAATCGTGGATCTAATCTAGGAGAAAACCATACTGTAAACCAACTTATTTTCGCGGATACTTTTATTTCGCGTTTCGCTTTTTCTAGCTCACTTTGCGGCAATTAAAATTCGCGATTTTCACATCTTCTTGATGTATTTGAATTAGGAAAGATCCAAGCTTTACATATTCGCGACGATTTATATTCGTGTTATTTCTCGTGTTATTTTTCTACTCGCAAAAGTCGCAAAAATATATCGCTCGTGAAAATTAGTTGGTTTACAGTATAGCAATGTGGTCTAATGACATGTGAAGCTCCTCTTTTAGATATGAAAATTATCATTTAAAATTTGTAAGTTTTTAAAACTTTTATTGAGTTGTTGTCTCAGCAGCATAAACTTATCCCATTAAACACCATTTCATGCAAAGAAACTATAACTCAAGTTAATGATGAAAATTTATCAACTTTTTCTTTCTAGTACCAATTAATATTTACTTCAATTTATCATTTCTAACGAAAATACATTAATCTGTTTGGTCATATTTCATGTGATTATTGACTGATTTTGACCTACCTCTTCATTCTGACTTGTCATAATGTAGGATACACACAAGTTGGCAAGGACAATAGCACTAACATTCAGGATCTGAAAACATACAAACAAACAAAATAATCAATAATTAAACAATATTTATACATTAAAAAAGTATCTAGACAGCATGCTTATTGTTTTAAATGAATAATGACATTTGAAAAATATTAAGAGAAATGAATTATCTATAGAACCTCTGTAAAGACATACAAGAATATAAATGTGTTACTGAAATCCTCTTATATATTATATGTTTTTATTATTTTTTTTAAATGCTCCAGTCACAGAAGATTTAATATACTGTAAATCTAGAAATTATTGCAATTTTGTCAGTTCAGACCAAAATGCGATTATGATTTTTGCGATACTGAGAAAAATCCTGCCTTATTTATATTAAAAAATCCAAAATGCGAGTTTAAATTATTGCAATTACAACCCTGTCGCATTTTTCGCAATAATAAAAACATCGCAATATTTCCAAATTTACAGTAGTCACTTTAAGGCCTGTCAGCTACCTGCTACTAAGATTTGACAGCTTTAATAATTTAATATAACACTGTGAGGTTCCTGCATGTTGTAATTTCAAAGAGTTCATATAATATTTTAGAATATAAGCATTATACATTTATTGTCTATCAAAAGTGAAAAATTCAAACTTCTTACATTATCATAATTCTTTTTAACGATCGGCTCATAGAATCCAGCAGCCTCTTTATACTTGTTCTCCTGCATGAAGAGGACATGAGCTACATTTAACTTCCACACGTCATGCTCATTACAGAACTCAACAGATTTACGGAATATCTTTTCCAAATGTGGATAATTCTCCATGTCCCAATAAATCTTAGCCTGTTGCATCAAGACTGGGATATATCTGTAAAAGAAAAAAACACAATCAGAAAATGTACAAAAAGTAAAATGATAACAAGAGGGTGATCAAAATCATTAATGAAGTAAAAAAAAAATTAACTGTTGACACAGAGATATGTCTCGCCTTTTTGTTATTTTGATAGTAAAATGCAAATGTTGAAATTAAAATAGCAATACTTTAACATGTGAGTTATGCAAAATATTCAAAGTTAATGAACCATGACTGAAGGTACAGGGTTTAGCAATCTCCATTGAAATGAGATAAGTCAAAGCTAATACATATGCATACCAAATATCATTGACCTATCACTAGTAGGTCCTCATAAACTGACCTAATCACAAACAAATACATGTAAACTTAGCAAAAGTTTCAAAGTCAATAGACCATGACTGAGGGGGCAGGGTCAAATAATCTCCATGGAAAATGAGATGTGCCAATGCTAATACAACTGCATACCAAATATCATTGACCTACCACTAGTGGTTCCCCATAAACTGACCTAATCACAAACTAATACATGTAAACCAAGCAAAAGTTTCAAAGTCAATAGACCATGACTGAGGGGGCAGGGTCAAATAATCTCCTTGGAAAATGAGATGTGCCAATGCTAATACAACTGCATACCAAATATCATTGACCTACCACTAATGGTTCCCCATAAGCTGACCTTATCACAAACTGATACATTGTTGACTACCCCGGCACCGCCGCCTGAAACAGAATAATCCTGTCTTGCTTTTTGATTCCTTCTAGGCTAGACAAGAAAAGACAACAGCATGGCCAAAAGAAGAAAAAGGACAAAAGTTGAAAACTTTCCAAGAGATGAATTCAATGTTACAATTGAGATTTACATTGGGAACTTGAAATCATCCCTTTAGTGAAAAAGCTTATCACATCTTACCCTCTCTGTCAGTTTATCTGTGGTCTTTTTTTATTTTTAGTTCAATGGGAAAGATGAGATCAGTTACCTTAACCAAATTTTGAATTATTCAATGAGAGGAATACTTATTGGCATATGTTGTAATTTGCTGTAAGGGGATCCTTGATTTTTACCCCAAAAAATCTCGTTAGAACTTGGCCAAATGAATTTAAACTTTAAAACAAAGTTTATATCTTGAATGCTTTTAACTTCAAATTCTGGCTGCTTCACACAAGAATTTGTTTTCTTGATTAAAACTTAATTATTGGTTCGAGTAAAGCATAAGTTCTGTAAATAATTTCTTATTCAACAGAAGTAAATATATTTTAAATTGACAAAACGCAGATCATTAGAAAATAATGGGAAGTCAAACTTTAGAAATATCAGAGATTAATTTTTTTCGTTAATATATATAACATAGAATGATGGATGATATTTGACAGAACTCGATGGACCAACCCTTGGAGCCAAATGAACTAAAAAGGTATACAATTGGTTAATGTCTGAATCATTCTCTAAAAGGAGGGTCTGGATGGGGTTTATATATAAGAGATTAATGGCAAATACATAGAGATTTGGACAATATAATTTATAATCAAAGTACTGAAGTACTGAACATCGGATGACCACAAGTCCTTGTGGATGGTCAAAAGCACTTGTCTCAGGAAAAAAATCACATATCTCTTTACCTGAAACTGAAATTAATGTACAGAGAATTATTTTTTTTCTGAGACAAGTTTGTGTGTGGATGACGAATAAATGACAGGAAATTACACTTCACCGTAATAACTATTATGTTGTAGTGATACAAATCAGTATACACTGATTTGTATACACTGATTTGTTGGTATATATTATATTAAAATAACAGTTACATGTATATATGATTTCCATCCATTTGTATATCATTCTATTCTACTATTCTACTTATGATAGTGCAATGCAAGTGCATGGCGGACACTTTTCTGTAAAAATTCGATTTTTCTAAAAGTTTGGATACGAGTAACCATTCATATTTTCATATTTTCCCGCAAATTATATTTATTCGAACCGGAAGTCCGCTTATTGAGAATATTGTGTCACGTTCCCAGACTATCGGTACGTGTGCATTGATATAATCAATGATTTTTTACTTATATATATATATATATATATATATACTACAAAACATTTTCATATTATTAATTAACAAAAATATTTGTATCAGTATTCATTGAAGAGATGTTTTTATATCAAACGATAAGGAATGTTATTTTGCACTAGTTTATGTTCGCGTATTTATCATGTTTATAGATCGGTTAAAATCCCAAAACTAATTTGCATAATTTATGCATTAATGGAAATTTAGGCGATAGCAATACATCGAAATGACCTCAAGGTCATCGCGATGTAAAAATGATAAAATGCAACTCTAAAATACTGTAAATTCAGGAATTATTGCAAGGTTTTCATTTATGCAACTTGGTGATTATCGCAATAATAAGAACTCACATTCTGATATCTGATACGTATAACTGTATGCAGATTTTCCTGAAATCGCAAAAATTAATCTTGCATTTTATCCATTCTTCAAAAATCGCTATAATGAATGCATGCAATAATTTCTGAATTTACAGTATAAAGAATAGAGAATAATGGACAAAAAATAAAAGTATACAGAAAAATGGCTTAAAAAATTAAATACTACAGAAATGAAGATCCCTCTTCCAGACTTGCTTGCTTAAAGACTGTACAATGCATTTAGTTTAAATCTTTGCCTATGAATAGTGAAACTTAACATGCATAAATGAATGGCGCCACGATTGCCATAAAGTTATTTTTCTACTTTTCATTCTAAATCTAGATTAAACAGGAAATGAGTCAAAAAGTGCATAATCCAAAATAAAACTTCTTTACAGTAGGACAAAATCTGAAGTAACAATACCGCAAATAAATAAACTATCTTCAGTACAGATAATAATGTCATAAAATTGCCAAATGAGCAAATGACCAGTAATTTTTAGCTTTAACTATAAACTTTCCTTATTTAAGCATCACTAATCTATGGATTTTCCCATTCATATCCTTACACACGCTTAAGTAAGCATGGTTACAAAATTAGATTCTGGCATTATCAAATAACAGATAAACCAAAGCTGAAAAAGATAATCTAGCAAAACTTAACAAAGCTGAACCAAATTAACAACAAAATGTTATGATAAGAAATAGTTTTCTGGTACCGATGTAAGGCAATCCTGAAAATCAATATTTAGTTAATTAAACTATTTCCCTGTATTCCTGTAAAAATTCAGGTTGGATAGACTTTTTAATGATTAAGGGGATGACAAAAAGACAATATCCACCAAAGACAAAAAGCCTAGGAAGTCAACAGTCACATAGCTAAAATCAAGCTTCAACAACTGGTCAAGATAAATACAGAATGTTAAAAACTTAAGCAATTTTTAAAAAGTTAATTGGAACAACCAATTGGTTAATTTAAGGCAAACTTTAAATATTGTAAAGAAACCTGTCTAATGATAAAGGCTGTATGTTGCCCTCTAGATTTCCTTGGTAACTTGTATTAGCATTGTTGGGTTCCTGTCTCATTGACAAATACCCAACATCTCCTTTTGTTCGAAAAAATACTACACAAACACAAATAAGTTATATATAAAATATCAAAATTACAAATTGCTTTTATTTTTTTCCCTTCATTGCACTTTTTTTTTATAACTTCCAAAAGCTATAATTTCACTTGCAAATTCTTAACAAAAAATGTGCACTTAAAAGACAAACAAATAATAAATATAGTTCAAATTAGTTCAATTAGAGAAAAAAGTGGAATAACTATAGTTTATATTTATGTTACATAGTGAAAAGAAAATGTACTGAGTTGAACACAAATAACTTTTCTCCTACCAATTAATGGCCAAATTGGTTATTAGGTTTACAGAAAAAAAACTCTCATAAAGCCTTCACTCTGTTCAATCTCCAGTCTCATGACTTTTCAAGTACAATCTGCATTGGCATGTTTCGCTAGAAGAATTTATTTGTATTGATAAAAGCTTTTTGTACAATTCCATTCCATCGTCAACAATGATTGCTTTATTGGATCTATTAAATTCTAAGATACTTTATGATATTCCTAACAGATAACTGTAAAACTATATCTTAGACTTGTAATGACCGGAGTAGTATCGAGGTCCACCAAAGGGAAATACTCGGTGGATTTATTCCATGTTCTTCATAATTGTTTCCCTGTATGCACTTCCAAAAGGCATTTTTATCACAAAGATAACATTGAACATTCCTATAAGGGACTGCATGTATTTAGCATTATTGCAAGGAGAATAATAAGATTAAATTTGTGTGATGCTTACTTCCCACTGAAATTGTACCCATTTTTATACATTTGGGAAAAAAATGTCGAAATTATTTTTTATTCGAACTAATCTGTTTTCAATTTGTACAATTATACTTTATCTTCACTTCATTCAATAAAGCAACTTTCTGTCACACATTTACAGAGGGGCCTTGGTGGCCAAGTGGTTTAAGTAGTTACTACTGTAATCACTAGCCAGTCAACACTGAGGTTGTGAGTTTGAACCCCGCTGTGCGGGTGCACTCAACACCAATCTTAATTGACTAGGATTGTCAGTTTTCCTATCGAAGGTTGGTGGTTTTCTCCCGGCACTCCAGCTTCCTCCACCTATAAAAACTGGCCACCACGAAATAGCCCAAAAGCGGTGCTTAAAACGGCTTTAAAACACCAAAAAATCAAATCAAATCACATTTACAGAAGTAACAATAAATATAAAATGAAATTAAAATTGTCTTCTTCCTCTGACACCTTTGCCAGCTAAAAACTACCTTTTTCCTTGTTCAAAGCACTGATAAATTAGGTTCATAACTGTAATTTGGTATAAAGATTAAAAAGTTCACATCATAATGAACATGTGTACTAAGTTTCAAATTGATGTGACCACAACTTCAGGGAAAACTAACTTGACCAAAACCTTTTACAATGGGAAGGACAAACAAAATTTCAGACTGATGACCAGAAAACATAATGCTCAACTACTGTATATCCTTCCATCGTTTTAGCTAGAACAAAGTTAAATAAATGGAGAATGTGTCAATGGGACACAAATGATGCCTCCTCTTGCATACAACGTTATAATGGGACATAACTCAAGAGCAGTAAAAGTGACGCTACCTAAATTCAAAGTTGATCTGTGTTTTGTGGTAATAAGCATTGTGTATCAGTTTCATAACATTTGGTTGAGGCAAACTAAAGTTAGAGAACGGAAACTAATTTTGTGACGTACGTACAGACAGACAAGGGTAACACTTAATGCCACCTCCGCTGCAGCAGGGTCTAAAAATTAAAAACTGTCTAAAATAAAATGCTCCGCTGGGCACAGCTTGATACAACCGCAGAGGTCGAACCCTGAACAGTTGGGGCAAGTATGGACACAACATTCATTTATGTATTCAAACCATATCATAATTATTTGCTTTTATATATAAATCAGAAATAACCAATTTAAAATGGAAAATTTTAAAGAAAAAAAAAGGAAAAAAGGAAAAAAAAATCCCTCCCCCAAATTATTTTAATCCCCTTATGATTCATCACCCCTAAACTCAATCCCAGCCTTCCCTTTGTGGTATGGTACCTTGCAGTACAATTTCAGAGAGATCCATACACTTGAACACAAGTTATTGTCTGGAAACTAGAAAAATGCTTGTTTTTAGGCCCCGTTTTGGCCCCAATTCCTAAACGTATAGAGCAATTACCCCCAAACTCAAACCCAGCTTTCCCTTTGTGATATGGAACCTTGTAGTACAATTTCATAAAGATCCATACACTTACACACAAGTTATTGTCCTGAAACTAGAAAAATGCTTGTTTTTTGTCCCTAATTCCTAAAATTTTGAGGCAATTACTCCCAAAATCCATCCCAGCCTTCCCTTTGCGGTATGGTACCTTGCAGTACAATTTTAGAGAGATCCATACACTTGAACACAAGTTATTGTCTGGAAACTAGAAAAATGCTTGTTTTTAGGCCCCGTTTTGGCCCCAATTCCTAAACGTATAGAGCAATTACCCCCAAACTCAAACCCAGCTTTCCCTTTGTGATATGGAACCTTGTAGTACAATTTCATAAAGATCCATACACTTACACACAAGTTATTGTCCTGAAACTAGAAAAATGCTTGTTTTTTGTCCCTAATTCCTAAAATTTTGAGGCAATTACTCCCAAAATCCATCCCAGCCTTCCCTTTGCGGTATGGTACCTTGCAGTACAATTTTAGAGAGATCCATACACTTGAACACAAGTTATTGTCTGGAAACTAGAAAAATGCTTATTTTTGGCCTCTTTTTGGCCCCTTATTCCTGAACATTTTGGGCAATTACCCCCAAACTCAATTCCAGCTTTCCCTTTGTGATATGGAACCTTGTAGTACAATTTCAGAAAGATCCATACACTTACACACAAGTTATTGTCATGAAACTAGAAAAATGCTTGTTTTTTGCCCCTTTTTTTGCCCCTAATTCCTAAAATTTTGAGGCAATTACCTCCAAAATCAATCCCAGCATTCCCTTTGAGATACGGAACCTTGTGGTACAATGTCAGAGAGATCCATACAATAACACACAAGTTATGTCTGGAAGTTACAAAAATGCTTATTTTTGTCCCCTTTTTGGCCCCCAATTTCTTAACTGTTGGTACCATAACCCCCAAAATCAATCCCAACATTCCTTTTGTGGTATTGAACCTTATGGTAAAATTTCATAGAGATCCATTAACTTAAACTAAAGTTAGAGTGCGAAAACCAATGTGTCTTCGGATGACGACGACAACGCCAACGTCATACCAATATACGACCACAAAAATTTTTTGCGGTCGTATAAAAATGCCAGTAAGTCAAAACCAAAATTTCTCTATAATTTTATAACAAAAACTAACCTCTCGAGAGCCTCATCATATTCATTGACTGCCTTCTTCACAGATTCATCATCATGGTTCTGTCTCGCCTCTTGTACCTATAAAATATAATCAGATTTCTTATAACAAATTACTGACAGAACATTACTCAATTCCCAATCCAAAAACAATAAAACTATCAAAGCTGTATAAGATTCTTATTAAATGTTTAGCGTAGATGTGATTTCTTTTCATTAAAAAGGAAATACAAGATGTCTTGTGACATATTTTGGAATGATGTCCTGCGCTGAGCTTTAATAGTGTTAGCTCAAACTCACAAATATATTGACAAATATTCAAAGGCTATAGTCTGTATAAATATGTAGGAATCAGAAGCGAATTATGCAGCTTTTCATTCTTGCAAAACCTTTTCCATTGCAATTTTTTGCAATAATAAAAATATTGCAAAAATTTCTGAATTTATAGTACATTTGGGAGTGGTGGCTAACAATAAGCTAAAATTACAATTTCACCATTATGCTTGACTATGCTAAACAACATACCTTCGTGTCTAACCATTTCACTTTGGCATGCGTAGAATTTTAAAGAGTTTAATTAGGGTTTTTATATGTAGTAACATTTATTAATTATCATAAATGAATATCCTTTCAGAGGGCAAACATTTGAAATCGTTCGTAATTGTGTCCAGTCGTAATTGCTTCCGGTGGGGCTAATGTAATGGAATGAATTTATGCCCATCTGTATTTTTACTAGTAATTACCCCCTACCCCCTGAACACTTACTAAAATACCTCTAGTTATCTGCAAAACAGCAATATCCCTAAGATATCCAAAATATTATTATGGTTTAACACAGTTAGTATGAAGATATACTAAATCAGATATAATAAGACTTAAAATTAAAATAAATTTGTGATTGATTTATTTTCACGATTAAGATAAAATAGCTATGATATTCCCTGGCAAAATTAAATCCTCAAGAACAGGTTTGGCCCTACAAATCGCGAAATTTTAACTCAACAAAAATAATCCACTTTAAAGTAATGATTAGCACCAGCTTATTTGACATGTCACTGCCACATTCCTACTTAATGTCAATAATTTGTCACAAGATAATAGTTTTAAACTAAATGCATAAATGCCTTTGTTATGATGAATACAAATTTAGCTCCGGAAATGCATGATACTCTGCAACAATCAGTTGGCAAAGACGTCATCCAAAAAATGACTCTTTAAATGCCTGCAACTTAATTGATTGATTGATTGTTGGTTGCTTAATGTCCAGTGGCAAGTATTTCATGCATATTCAGGACGACCTGCAACTTAAGTACTTTATGTTTGATATTGAAGTCTTCGGATGATACTAGGACTGATATAGAACTTTAATGAAAATCAAGATTATTTAGGTCAATATTGAGTTCACCTAAATTAAATTTATGAAGTCCACGTACTCAATTTTCAAATAGGATGATTTCCTTCAGTAAAAGCTTTTATATCTAATCCGTTTTCAGAATTTAAAGCAAAATAATTGAATCTCTAAATTAATGTCAGTCAAAAGATGATTGCTTCAAACTACATACCTTAATGCATTTGCTAAAATGATTAGAAATTGTGCACTTGAAATGCATGATAAAGATACAGTGACAATCATTAGCATATCGACAAATATCTTACCTCCTATACATTTCTAGGAATATGATTGGTTAAAAGCAACCACGTGGAGACCATGTATATTTCATATGGGGTTAGTAGGCTGGGCTTATTTCAATACACGGAATTAGTAGTGGTGTTACATCCCTTTATAAAAACAACACAATGTTGAGGAAAAATCTGAAAGGTTTCAACACACGAAGAAATTGATGATGAACGATTGAAATAAATTCACAAAACACATTTAAAGCTAACAAGTTGTTATTTGTTTTTGTATAGACCAACTGAAGTAGGTTCTTAATACTAAGTATTGAAGACTTGATCACTTTGATAGGCCACTAGTCTAAATACCACATGTTAAGATAGTCAGTAATATAAATTCATTACACAGTGTGCTAGTGACCTAATACGATATATATGGGGTCAGTAAATTCCATATATATCGTATTAGGTCACAAGCACACTATGTAACTAATAATATTTCATCCCATGACCCTATATTAGACCTTCAACTAATACCTTTTACTAATTATAAGAAGGTCTTTCAATAATTTTGAGACTTATATAGAAAATTTTCTGTAATTACCAATATGAAAATAACAAGATAATATAGTTTAATATTCTTTCATTGCATATTTGCTTTGCCTCTATCATATTGCATGGCTCTTGCAGAAGTGTAAAGTAGTTCCATGTAATGAGAGAGATTCCCTTGGTTAACTTTCTCTATCAACACACATAATTTGTAAGTTACACATATTTTAAACCTGATCCAATTAGATGAATTACAAATAATGCATACATTTTAATACAAACATTACATGAAATTTTGCTTGATCTTTGATTATTGTAATCACCCCATATACCACCGATACCTATTTTGGGTTGACAAGTTTTTTGAATGGTACAACCCAATTTATTTGCTGGAACAGTTAAAAAGCAATTATTTAGTGTCTCTAAACTAGATTTGACATTAAGGATCAAACATCGGTAGATCTATATCAATTTGCATAATTTTTTACACTTTTCGATAAAAATCAATATATAAATGTCATCTCAATTAATCATGTGATAAAATCAGAAAAGAAGTAGCCTACGAAATCATAAAAATTCTATTTTGACCCATGAAGAAAGAAAATTCTCATAAATTTTTCATTTTGTCATTAATCATTATCTTGAGTAATGAATTTTACATGAATTCAAACATAATATCTCAGTGGGATAACTAGTGAGAACAATAGAAAAGTAACTTTTCCTGTAATGGAGGTAAAAAAGTCAATAGTTTGTTTACTTTGATTACCATACTGATTAAAAGTTGTTTTGAGACCACTGGATAATACAATTAAAAAAATTACTTGTTGTCTTACTTCCATTATTTGAAAGAAAAAAAAGATTGATTGTTTGGTTGTTGGTGTTTTGATGCCACTTTCACCACACTTGGCTACATTATGTTGGCAAGATTTCATTGGTGGAGGACACCGAAGTACCAGGAGAGAACCACCAACCTTCAGCAGGAAAACTGGTAATCCTAGCTAATTCCAAGTCAAACGCACCTTACTATGAGTGGGGTTCAAAATCGCAACCTCAGAGTTGACAAGCTGCAATGATATAACCCACACTGCATAAAGTGGCATTAAAAACCAACAATAAATCAATCACTTTGTATCTAAGTACTGGATTTTGACAAAGAACTTAATCTAAAGTCAATGAAATCAATATAGGTCGGGGTGACCTCCTTCTTATGCAAAGATGTCACACACACACCAATATGATTTCAATTTAAAATCTTTTTGTTGATTTTATCTGTATAATTATAAAAAAATACTTGTATTTCTCTTAATTTGAATTTTCAGTTTTTGATACTCTTTAACTTTGAAGGTAATTTGGCTTTACAAGTGTTTTGATTCAAGGGCACCTGATGAGTCTCACGAATTTGGGGAACGTGCATCTGGCATACCAAATTATCTGTTCCTGTTATCTCTGATCAGTTTTTACATGTTTAATAAAGAACAGTTAGCTGTCAAAAACAAAATTATAATATAAATATTGGAAAGAAACATACCAAAGAAGTAATAAATATTTTCAATACACATCAAACTGAAAAAATTTGCTCAAAATTCTATAATTACAAACACATGAGGAATCATTGATGGTGTTGAACACATAGAGGGACAAGAAGATAGGATATGGAAGGAAGGTTATATTTCTATAGCTTGGAATTCAATATTGTTATCACATTCCTTACACAAACAGTAAATCAGTTCACAAATAAACAAACAAAAAAAAAGAAAAAAAGAAGAAAAAAAGAAGAAAAAAAATTAGAAAAATTAAAACATGTCTTCATGTCAATGATATTAAACTTTTTTTCTTCTTCTATAAAAAAAAGTTCAGTTTCTTCATCTTTTCAATAAAACGATCTTACAGTCTCTAATAATAATTCAAAAATACTATAATACCACAATATGACTTTCTAGTCAAGGTGTAAATGGTAAGGTCACTTTAGTGGCAGATATATGTGGATATTCTGTACAAAACATTGGTGGCATGGCTCAGTGCATGTTATTGTCAACATTTACTTACTGTATCAAAGACAATCTAGCCAAAAGAATGGAGGATGGGTTAGAGAGAAATAATAACTCAGAATAGTTTATTTCTGTGGATTCCAATTTTCGTGGATTGAGGAAAATTGTATTTCAATGTATATTTGATTTCATGGTTTTGCCAAAGTCTGCATACAAGCCTTTATAAAATGTGTATTTCATTGAACTATGAAATCCATCAAAAATGGTATCCAACAAATAATGATGAATCCAAAGTAATTTTCAAGACAAGACAAATTTTTTTTTCTCAATAGGAACTTTTAATTTCCTAGATTCCTATCCATACATCCCCAACCTTGCATTCATCCTCAACCAGATTTTTTTTTAATTTCAAGGTTTGCTTAATAAAGAAAATTATGTCATTAAAATAAAAAAATTGTCTGCACAACTAAATTTTGACAAAAATCTATAGTAATGGTAATGATGAAATAAGTACTGTAAATTCAGAAATTATTGCGATGATTTTATTATTGCGAAAAATGCGACAGGGTTATAAACGCAATAATTTAAACTCGCATTTTGAAATTTTTTATATGAATTAAACAGGATTTTTCTCAATATCGCAAAAATTAAAATCGCATTTTACGACTAAAATGTCAAAATCGCAATAATAAATGCACGCAATAATTTCTGAATTTACAGTAATAAAAAAGTGGATAAGAATCTAGAAATTGGAATTCTTTGGCCTTATAAAATGTTTAATAGAAATTATTAGTTTTGATCACATTAAATGTGTGTACAGTTAAATAAAACAGCATGTTAAAAGAAAAATCAACATTTAAAATTTAAACATACACAAAATACTTGTGCCATATTCAAAAATCATATCAAAACAAACTGATACAGCAAAACCTGTCTTAGGTGACCACCTGTATAATGAACTTTAAAAGTGGTCACCATAGACAGGTATTTTGGAACAAAAGTTCATGCTAAATGAAAACATGCAGTATCAAAGATTGTTTGAAATACTGATGTCCATTATGCAGAGGTTGGTCACTTAAGACAGGTTAACTGCTTTACAACATGTGCGCTGTTCACCAGATGGCAGTACCAGTAAGCCAAAAACATTCAAATAAAGAAATTTCACTTCAAATAACAATCTTGAACACAACAAAAAATTTTAGCATTTTTTGCAAATACATACTCCTTCTATCTATAAAACAAAATTCATAATCACAATGGCTAATATTATGCAAAATTATGCAAAAAATTTAGAAAAATTAAAAAATTGCTGCATTTCATGCAAATTAATATCTTAAGTCTACCGATGAACATCCTTAATGCAAAATCAAAAGCAGATGGTGCAAAACTTTTACCTCCATGCGTTTGCCAACATGCAAATCAACCTATGAACACACCATATTATCAATTTACATGCATTTACTTAATAACCCAGCAACTGACTTGACTAAAAATATTAAGCAAGGCAGGAACACACATGATTTTTTCTTCCTTTGATTGGAAAAACACACATTATTTTTTCTTCTTTTGATTGAATAAAACAATATCTACAGTAGAAAGTCTCATGCAGTTGGCTGTTTTATTGTTAGGTTTTTATTATAAATGGGATTTCATTGAAAGAATCCAACTTGAAATTTAAATTCTGAAGAAATAATAAATATTCCTTAAGGTGGTACATAACATTACAGGGAGAAAACTCTGTAAAAATCAGCTGAATGTTTTAATCACGTTCTATTGTTAAGGAAATATCAAGCTTCTCAATGATCAAAATTAGTGTTTGTCAAACTGCTATATAGCCAATGAAATTTTTCCGATAAAGTGTGTGGTTCAAGATTTTTGAATTTTTTTATATTTTTGTCATAGGGTCAAAGTAAATATTTTGTCAAAATTTTATGAAAATTAAACGAGCCAAATTAATTTTAGTCAAGGTGTTTGGTACCACCTTAATACTGATATGAATGAAAGAAAAAAAAAACATAAAAAATTTAATTCACATAAATGAATCATTTTTTTTTTTTTTTTAAAGTTTTGACTTTTATTCCCTCTTAATTACATATATCTCTGGAAGAATCAATATATAGTCTGAAAAACCTGGTGATATGTGTTGCTTGTGAAATTCACAGAAAATGCTTTTTATACTGAACAGTCAAAATGTGCACTAATTGCAGGACATACATTATTTGTGTGATTTGAACTAGCAGATTCTACAATGATCAGATGAGATATACATATATCATAGTACAACCCTTGCATGGTGTAAACTTCCCAATAAAACATTTATGGTGTATTTGGGAATAGTGCATGGTGTAATGGGGGATGGTGTATAGTGCATGGTGTAATGGGGGATGGTGTATAGTGCATGGTGTAATGGGGGATGGTGTATAGTGCATGGTGTAATGGGAAATGGTGTATAGTGCATGGTGTAATGGGGGATGGTGTATAGTACATAGTGTAATGGGCAATGGGGGATGGGTTGGGTAAAGTGCATGGTGTAATGGGGAATGGTGTATAGTGCATGGTGTAATGGGGAATGGTGTATAGTGCCATAGGGAACAGTATATTTGAATAAGACATTCATTATTAGTGTTTTTTTAAAGAAATATCAAAATTGCAATAAAATGCTTTCTCTTTAAATACATAGTATTTTGAGTATTTTAAATGGTGCAATATCATGCTTTATTCAATGAATATTTTAAATGGTGCAATACATTGTTTGATTCAAAGAGTATTGTAAATGGTGCAATATCATGTTTGATTCAAAGAGTATTGTAAATGGTGCAATATCAGGTTTGATTCAAAGAGTATTGTTAATGGTGCAATATCAGGTCTGATTCAAAGTGTATTGTAAATTTTGCAATATCATGTTTGATTCAAAGAGTATTTTAAATGGTACAATTTCATGTTTGATTCAAAAAGTATTATTAATGGTATAATATCATGTTTGATCCAATGAGAATAGTAAATGGTGCAATATCAATGTTTGATTCAAATGAGAATTGTAAATGGTGCAATATCAATGTTTGATTCAAATGAAAATTTCAAATGGTGCAATATCATGCTTGTACAATGAGTATGATTTATGGTGCAATATTGTGTTTGATTCAATGTGTAATGTAAATGGTGCAATATCATGTCTGATTCAATGAGTATTTCAAATGGTGCAATATCAAATTTGTTTCAATGAATATTGTAAATGGTGCAATATCATGGTTGATTCAATGATTATTATTTATGGTGCAATAGCATATTTGATTCAATCAGGAAAGGCAAATGATGTAATTGGGAAGGTTACATAGATCAAGGACTGTAGCTTCAGAAAAAGAGACTTTTATCTACGATTATCAAGCAGCGATTGTAATAACCACTAGTAACAAGGTCTTCTAATCTACAGTGGTTTGAATGAAGTTTGGTATAAAAACAAATTCAAATATACGTTCTTAAAAAACCACCTACCTGTTTAGTGAGTTTACTGAGTGTTTCAGTCTGTTGTTTGGCCATGTCCTCTAGTTTCCTGTAAGCTTCCTCTGGTGAAGTCTGTCTAGTGATCACAGCTTCTAAGAAGTCATACAAGTACTGTAACAAAGGAAAATATTGTCAACTACTGCAATTTACAACTGAATGACAAGATCATAGCTTTGATTAAATCTGCAAACTTTAATTTTTGGTACAAAAGTATTTTTAGCTAATGATCTACTTGCAATAAGATGAAATGCTTATTTTATGGAATTCAGTTTCATGATGAAAAAGAAGGTATACGACACACAAATCCGCATGTTTCACATTTCATTTTACTTTGTTACTGATTGAGCATGTTTATCTTACTAACACACTGTAGATTTATTTATTATCATGGAAATCATATTTCGTTGATTGAAAAAAAAATGTATTTTCGTGAGTACTTGATTTCATGGTTTTGCAAAGTCTGCATACCATATATATATACAAAAATCGGCATACCACATATATAAAGAAATTTCTACCTCGCTGAACATTCCAATTCATGGTTTATGCATACCAATAAAATTGATGAAAATATCATTCAAATAATGAAAGAACCTAAGTGAGCGCGCTCACATACCCCACGTCCCCAAATTGTCATTGGAGAAATAAAATAAGTGTAAGAAAAAAAAATTGTATTAGAAAAAAAAATTGAATCATAATTTCCTGTCAATATGCACATCTACATAGTATGTCCTTATTATCTACACAGTTTCATGAAATTCTGTTGTGTGGTTTGAGAGGAGTTGCAATGACAAAAGGTTGCAGTAGTATATTGGGCAAATAAGTTCAAAGGGGCGTAACTCCTGGGAAAAAAATTGAATCGTAATTTCCTGTCGATATGCACATCTACGTAGTATGTCCTTATTATCTGAAAAGGTTTCATGAAATTCTGTTGTGTGGTTTGAGAGGAGTTGCGATGACAAAAGGTTGCAGTAGTATATTGGGCAAATAAGTTCAAAGGGGCGTAACACCTGGAAAAAAAATTGAATCGTAATTTCCTGTCGATATGCACATCTATGTAGTATGTCCTTATTATCTGAAAAGGTTTCATGAAATTCTGTTGTGTGGTTTGAGAGGAGTTGCGATGACAAAAGGTTGCAGTAGTATATTGGGCAAATGAGTTCAAAGTGGCGTAACTCCTGGAAAAAAAATTGAATCGTAACTTCCTGTCGAGAAGCACATCTATGTAGTATGTCCTTATTATCTGGAAAGGTTTCATGAAATTCTGTTGTATGGTTTGAGAGGAGTTGCGATGACAAACTGTTGCAGTAGTACATTAAAGTAAATAAGTTCAAAGGGGCGTAACTCCTACAAAAAAAATTGAATCGTAATTTCCTGTCGATATGCACAATTACATAGTATGTCCTTATTATCTAAAAAGGTTTCGTGAAATTCTGTTGTGTGGTTTAAGAGGAGTTGCGATGACAAGAAATAGGACTGACGGACTGACTGACGGACGGACGGACGGACAGACAGACGGACAGGTCAAAAACATTATACGCTCCGCAACTCGTTGCGTGGGGTATAATAATGAATTCACAGTATCCGTTTCATTAAATTGTTTGATATGATGTATCAATAATTTCTAATTATCAAAGATTAATGTAAAGAGAAGAGACACAAGGAAAGCCTGCTTGTAACCCTTGACTAGCAAAGATTAAATTAATTATGCAACAGTTTTATGTATAATAGGTTTTAAATTTGTCATCTACATAACATCTGAAAAAGCTATAAAAATATCTTTCTACAACCGTAAGCTAGAACAGAATGCTGGGGACACATGTACATGTACTATCTTGTAATGACATGTAATACACATTCCAATTTCGATTTTATGAATAAACTGCCCCAGTTGACCTGGGGTTATTTGGTGGAAAACACATCATAGGACATTGTGACGTAAAGATATTTGCTTTGTGACATCAATTTTTCCAGAAAAAATACCAATTGCCATGAAAGATCATGTATAGAATCCCCAAAAATAGAAAATTTAATTAAAACAAACAATAAACTTATATAAACAATAAAATATATGAAGAAAATAGACCATTAATGGCTATATTGATTCTTCTACAGGAAATTACTTTTTTTATTTCCAAACTAGTTGAATTCATGCAAACAATTTTGATTGCAAATTTAACAAACCCTGAAATCACATTTTGGATTATGTCCAATAACTTTTAAGTATATAAACATAACAATGTATTGAAAAATTTATCTTTGATGTGTAATGGTTATTTAGTTTGAAACATAAAAAATATCAGTTAAAAGTTTTTCAGTAATTAATCAAAATTAATTAATTATTGCTATTACAGTAAGATGTTTGGGACCATAACTAACATCTAATTTTCAAATACTGAAAAATACTATTACATTTTTTTTCTTTGAAAGTGCATGTATTAAATCTGAAATCTGTTCACAATCATAATTTTTCTTCTGTTGGTATATCAAAGATTTATTTCTTGTTTTAGTATTGATTTGGATTTTCAAATTTAGGAATTCACTTGAAATTCAGTTTAAGTTTAGGTTTCATTAATTTAAATTAAAATTGCTGTCTATCAATTTAATTGATTTTTTTAAGCTGTGATCTATGCCATGCCTCCTCAAAGCATAATAAAACTTTTAGTCACATAAACGATTTTGAAGAAGTGAGTAGAATTTGTACAAAAATAAGGACACACACAATTAAAGAACCTTTGTAAGCATGCTCACATACCCCACGACCCAACATTGTCACTGGGCAAACAAAATCTCACTAGATAAATCTCACTAGATTCCTAAGTTAAAAGACTCAAAATCCTACTAAAGTCAAATGATTAAAATTTCTTTTGGATATGCACATCTACATATTATGTCCCTATAATCTACAAAGTTTTATAAAATTCTGTTGTTTAGTTTCAGAGAGTTGCAATGACAAACTGTTGCAGTAGAATCTTTAGGCCAAAATTCTAAGTTCAAAGTGGCTCAACTCCTAGAAAAAAAAAAAGAATGATAATTCCCTCTTGATGTGGACATCTACATAGTATGTCCTTATTATCTATAAAGTTTCATAAAAATGTGGTTTCAGAGGAGTTGAGATGACAAGAATAGGGCTGATGGACGGAAGGACAGAATGACGGACGGACGGACTGACAGACGGACAGACAGGAAAAAAACTTTATACCCTACGGAACTTTGACAGATTTATCAACTTTAAATTACACCACTGAAATTAAAATTGCCTCTTGGCAGAAAAAAAATGGAAAGGTAGGTACCGTAGGTTAAATTATATATTTTTTTTTTTTTTTTTTTTACATGGACTTTATAGGATAAAGTTCTGGAGTTAAATGGTGCTTAACCAAAATTTTCTTGACTTAAAATATTCAACTAAAATGTCTGTATAATGTGTTGGAGTACCAAATGTATGAAAACTTGGTATAGGTAGGGAGGCAGGAAACAGAAGTATATATATGTTTGGCCTAGTGTAGGTAGGGAGGCAGGAAACAGAAGTATATATATGTTTGGCCTCATATGATACAGAACCCAGTTTTCACGAAAGGTTGCATGCAAGAAAAGAATTTTCAAGGCTGTTTTCATATTGATTACTAAACTTAATTAAAAATAAGTGATCACTCATTCTGCCAATTCAGTGATTACAATGTAATGTTCTATAAAAAAGATAGATAAGTGTACAAAAACAGAATTAAATGGAGGCTTTTCAACAAATTTCAATCAATTATTTTTGTCAGAATTTAGTCAATGGTTTGCAGAATAAATACTTGGTTTACATTTATAGGTAAACATTCCAGTAATTAGAATTCTGTAAAAAGTAGTTCAAATCATGTCAAATCTAAATAAAGTTTAAAAATATTTTCATTTTCTCTCACAAATAGAAAAGGCAAAATCAATTCATTCCTGCACTTAATTCTGAAGTTTCATTTTCAACAATATGCTTGTTAGTGAAATTAAATGGATTAAAAGAGAAATTAACATGGGTCATAAATCATAAAATTCTTTTATTGAGACTTAAAACATGTAAAAACATTTAAACAATATTTAGCAAAAATGTCTTCCAATGTTAGTACTTTTAGGGGAAGATCCTGAGTTTTTAAATAAGGTCCACTTTCTAATAATAAAACTCTGTAGGTCATTGAATTTACAATTATTTTCCCCAGTATTTAGGGCATGCATACAGCAATTCCCTCTCTTGGAACAAATAATATAAGCAAAAATTGCAAATTCCAACGTTTGGCATGGAAAACCCACAAAATACCTCAAATAAAAAAATTAAAATAGCAGCTCTTATAGCACATTTTAATGTACTGTAGAAGAATCTGTGCAAAAGAGTTGGTTCACTAACTCATAATTTTGGCCCTTGAAATCTGAAAATTGCTACTGTGATTATGTTTATATGAAAATTTGATTAAAACATGTGTTAAATTGTCCAATTGTTTCAGTTAAAATAAGATTCTCAGCAATTGCTCATTAGTGATGTATTTGGGGGGTCGTAAATGTAGGTGAATTTCGTTAAAACCTTATTATTTGCTTATTTGGCAAAAGGAGTAGGTTCAGTAAGAACCCTTTTTGGCCTCAAAATATAGCAGTTTTACAAAATTGTTAAAATATAAACTTTTAACTATTCATTGGAAAGGAGAATACTTCTGTTACATACATATGGGCTGTTTTTGATAATACAATGCACATGTATCGAGTACTAGCATCATGAAGTCATGCTAAATAACTGAAATCTTCGAAATTTTAGCATTTTGGTTAATTTTTAGACGGTTTCCGTCTGAAATGGAAGTGGCCGCATTTGTGTTCATTCTTAATATTTAAATGTAAGTTGTATTTGATGATAATACATAACATATATAATGGTTGAGAATGAACACGGATGCGGCCACTTTCATTTTTGACAAAAACCATCTGAAAAGTGACATATCATGGCATATTTGATAGATTTTTCATATTTAAGCTTGAATTTGAGCGTCTTTAATGACTAAATCGGTTCAAACCTTTCGCATAAACTGATCGAATCGACTGAAGTAGATACTTAAGTGTTTAAAAAGTGTCCAAAATCTTTCATCAGATGAACTTGAATTTTGAGGCCAAAATCGGCCCTTACCGGACCTACTCCTTTATGATGGTTTTCTGAAAAATTAAGTGCCCCCCGCCCACAAATATTTTTGCTGAATTATTCTCTATATATCATATTCTTTACTTTCAACCAAATTTTCAATGGCTGAAGAGTGTGTTACATACAAAATCATGAAAAAAGGTTGATAAAGGTGAAACATGTTTTGAAAAAAGGACTAAAATTGAAATCTATCCCTATTTCATGCTAATATTTATATATATATATATATATGAATATGAAGCTGATGTATAATAATTATTATTATATTTTAAAAATAATACATTTAGCAATACATGCATAAAATAATTTTCTCAAACAACAGAATTTAAAAAAAATACACCTTTACAGGGCCGTTTATTTGGAGTTACTGGCTGTACTCCTTTGGTGGAATTCTGTCAAGCAGTTTTCAAGGAGTTGCGGATTAACAAACAGATATAAGCAGAAATGGTAAGTCCATGTTTTTATATGGGAAACCCCAAAAATCACTCCGATTTAAAATCAAAGTAGCAGGTGCTCAACTCATGTTTATAGAAGATCTGTCAAGAAATTTAAAGAAGTTATAGAATAATAACAATGACGAGGACCATGTGGACAGCAACAGATGTGATCCTTATGTGTTGCCGCATATAACAAGTATAACCTGTCAGGTTGCTCAATAAGAAAAAGCAGTTTGTCAAATTTCATATTTGTTCGACATAATGCATTCTGAGGAAGAAAAACTATGTTTAGGTCAAAAACTGTTGCCTATGACCTTTTTGTGTTTTCTCCTAAGAAATGTATATTTAGGGATTGTTCTTAAGTAAAAGACCTTGCATTGAAAAATTGTTCAAACAATTTGTACAATAGCAGTTTGATTCTCATTATATTTTCATCACCACACTATTTTCTTCAAATTTAAAAAGTACTATATCTAAACATGGAACATATTGCATATTATTTGACTCTGCAAATTTATTTAGATTTAATTTGAATGTATTTAATATTAAATAAAATTAGAATCTTAAAAATATCTGTCGCCATCCATACAATTCAACTGTAATTTGGTAATACAATTTTGGAATTAGTATTGATTATTGTTAATATCATACAAGAAATGTAAAAAATAATATACTTTTGCCTATCTAAGGGAAATAACTCATTTGCATAACCATAAATATTGCATCAAAATCATATTCGTTCAATGTAGTCTTTATATCTGCATAAAATAAATTACTGTAAATGTAAATACTTACAGGAGTAAGGTATTTGTAAGTCAGGTGAGCATTTTCTGCCAGTACATCAGCAGCTAGATCATAGTACTGAAAGGAAAACAATATGCATCAAATGACTAAAAAAATCATAATCACATCTAAATGTTGTAAGGGGAGTAAGTCAAAAGTTACTATGGCAAAAACAGCAGATGTAACAATCATGATTGCTTTTTTAACCTCAAGTGGCAAATAGTTCATGCATTTTCAGAATAAAAAACAAATTAACAATCTATACAATAGGTAGGTTCTGTAAAGTGGTATGACCAGGATAAAGCACTAAAAGTTTGGACTGTCACTGAAAAAAGATGGCATGTTGGATAGGATCAGACATTTTGCCTTAGATGAGTTGACCTGCTGCCCCTCAAATAGTTGTTACAGGGTCTTTAATGTTCAGAAAATGTGGTACTCTTACATGGGGAATCACAATTTAACATTAATGAACTTTCAAAGCAGGAAGGTTTTTAATTTTTGGATAAACAAAAATATCATAAAAAGAGAAAGGGTTTACTTACTTCATATTTGGCATACAACAAAAGGAGGTTTCCAAAAGTTTCTGGAGGGAAGGGATTCTGTTGCAGTAAAAACTGCATTTTCTGAAAACCACCAGTGGCATTGGTTTCCATGTTCATCAGAGCTTGGTTGTGAAGAGACACTGCATCTAACTCTTCTTCGGCTCTTGGTGGCATGTCGGTCAATGCTTCACATGAAGCTTCATCTGGAAAAATAATGAAAATTGATGTAAAGATTTGATAAAGCTAACAGGGAAGACATGGAACAAATTAAAACAGCATGAACCTTCATTAAAGGTAGATGTAATAAATTTACCAAACCTTAGTTGGTTATTTACAAAATGTGTTTATTAAATGTTTTTATTATTATATTATTCAGTCATATCGCTATAATAGCTGTAGTTTTTAAATGAAAATCTCAAATTGAGAACATAAAATAACACTATCTATTCTACTACAAACATGGGGTAACTCAAATCTGGAAACACATTCAATTGTAATTAATCACATTTTCCTAAATTATCCACAGAGTGTTTGATGAAGGTATTGTGTTTAAAATGACATCAAACTGGGTTTTTCTTATATCAATTCAATAAAATCCCTCTTGTGCTGATCACACTGACATCAGAGAGGATGAATATTGTGTGGTCAAAATGGTTCCCACCTTATTTCAGATAAAATGGTTCCAAAATTATTTCAGTCAAAATGGTTCAAAAATGATCTCCATATCTTTTCAAATTTGAAATTTGAAATTTAAACAGAAAATATGTGGACTTTTATTTACATTGACCACCAAAATATGAATAGGAAAATTGCAATAACAGAAATATTGTAATATGACAAATTTTTAACCACAACTATTTATGCGATGTATTTTGAATTTTGAGAGGAATAACATAATGTGCACACATTACCCACAAACAATTACCATACATTGGAAGTACCATCTTTTCATAGTCTATCTCCCAATTGGTTATCCTGAACAACTATTCAAAATATATATGCTAATGCGGCACAAATATCAGTTTAAATTTCTAGTTAAACTGACAAAGTTAGTCATCAGAACTATGACTTATGTCTGAAGTGATAAATCAGGAAAGTGGGAAAAAGACTTCAGTTGAACCAAGGTACGTATATACTGTGGATTCATTTATTTTCTTGGGTATCAATTTTCGTAGATTGAAGAAAAATTGTCTTTTTGAAATTTGAATTTGTGGAGTTGCAAAAGTTTGTATACAAGCCTAAAGAAAAAATTAGACTTTTTTTAAACATTTACATTAGTGGTTTCCCTATAATGCTATTCCCACCAAATCAACGAAAATTGGTACACCACAAATAATATTAATGAACCCACAGTATATCAGACAAAATTGTTATGCTTTACATACAAACATAAATACAAAACTTACAATTCTTGAGTTGATATTCTATAGCCGCCTTGAGATTAAATGCTTCAATCAACGCTGTCTCGTGGAGAGTTAGAGTATTACCAACACTTCTAACATCTATCCCTTCTGTTGTCATTCCTACACTTAATTCTGTAAAAAAGATATTGTCAATATGTTAACAAATATTACTGGGCTTGTACAAGACCCCCCCCCCCCCCCTTTCCCAAAATACAAAAAAATATTAACTTCTGTTCCTGCCTAATGCAAAATTTAATTTGTTATTGTATTTTAATGTAAATGATTTATTTATAGTTACTTTATGTCTTTGAAGACTGATGCATTCCCACTTATAAACCTATCATTTGTCTTATTGTTTCATTTGAGATAAATATTTAACACACTTTTATTTCTTTTACAAAATCAAAATCTTCCTTAATGTACAATCTTCTTTTTTATTGTCCTTTAATGTAAGTGCTTTATTCAGAGCTTCTTTACGTCTTTTTGAACACTTACACATCCACACTTGTAAACCTTATTTATTTTTATTATACTCTGCATGCATTATAAATACTTTTAAGTCTTAACATACTTTTGTTAAACTGCCAAAAATCAATAACAATATTCACTGTACATTAGTGTTAATTTATTTCATATAAGATTTTCAAGATCAATAAAGCATGAACATTTTCTTTGTCCAATGATACGAATTGTATCCGCTCTAGATCTGGAGATCTAATTACTCTTGATCAATAGAAATAATGTACTGTAAGAAGGAAAGATATGCAGTTATCTCCCATATTTTCTGTAATATATGAAAATTCATGTAATTAGATTAATTTTCATAAAAAATAAATAATAAAGTATGAAGGAATTTAAAATCTTTTAATGAACAAAATGGCATTTTTCTTTGCTACTTCCATGAATTATTAAATCAATAATTGCCAGTTTGATTCATAGATTATACCATCAATCAGTTATTCAGGGTAAACTGCTGACTATTTATACTCCTCAGCCTCCCATATCATTGAGGTCTGCTGCCATTGGATTCTGGTTACTTACTGAACTGATTTTAAATGGAAACTTTATGTTGACTTACTCTCCAATGGTGAACTTTGACCTCTTTTGCTAAATTTTCTAGCAAAATTTTCTAATTATTTTTCAATAAAAGATTCTTTTTATTGTTTAACTGACCAACAGCCTATGAACACACATTTTAAGACTTTTGCTCATAAACAAAATAATGAGGAACACACGACTTTTGCAGATAAAATTTTACCTGGGTGTTCTCTAATACCCCTCTCAATGATATCAGCAATATGTTTAAGTGCTGGCGCATATTGTTTCAACATGTAGTGACATAGAGCTATGTTATAGGATAGATCAGCTTTGTATCCTAGTATCTGCATGGCTGTAGTAAACTTTGAGCAAGCTTCTTCATATCTTCCATCCTAAAATCAAAGTATATCATTGTATTTTTTTTAAATATGAAAATGAATCCATATCTAATATAATCAAGACTGAAAAGAAAGGTGGAGGGGCAAACTTCTGAAAGTGACAAGCACAAAAAAACAAACCCTTTCTTTAGACTTATGGTCTATAAGTTAGTCTGTGTCCTCTTTCATTTTCATTTTTTTTATATCATAAATTTTTGTTTGGGGGGGGGCAAAAGTTCTGTTCCTATACCAGTGCAACTACTGAGTAATATGTTAGAGCAAAGAGTCAAATACAGAAATATACTATTGACTTTAAAATTATGTTAGCTCCACAAAGGAGAAAAGCACTCTGTCCGTACGAATGACATCTACTAATAATATAATAAAGTTTTACCAAAAGAATTAACTAAAAGGCAATAGAATGTGTTCATATAATTTATTTGTTAAGTTATTCTCATGTAAATTTGGTAGGATAACTATAAGGTTTCTATGTCCTTTATATTCAAACTTTTCTCTTTTTGTATTCTGTACATTAAAATGCAATTAAAAAATTGACATATCTTTCCAATTCTATATCTATTTAAATTGATTTGAATATTAATATTCTAATAACTTAAATCTGAACATACGAAATGCTATTACAGTCAAACCTATTATAAAGGTCACCTCTACTAAGCGAAAACCTGTCTTGTCACATCACCCTCACCTTATCCCACTGTAGTTATAGGTTTGCATTTTAAACATCAATTCAAAGGTCACCTATTTTTAAAGGTCAGTTTGATCTGCTTGCAAGGCTGACCTTTATAAACAGGTTTGACTGTAGTTATGTATCATACTTTACCTTAAACAATAGGCATCCAAGATTGATTTCTGTATCTGGATCATCTGCTGGACATTGCTCTACCAAACTCTAAAATATATAAAGATCAAGATTTAATATTTAACTTCTGCTAACATCATTAAGTAAAGAGTATGATGGAATTCTTGGATAATTTAAAGATTTCATCACAGTATTGCTATAATGTATGAGTAAAATACAATATTGTCTGGCACATATCTAGGATTTTTCATTAAAGTAGGGATTAAAATAGCAGCATACTCCATTTTTTGTTGTCTACTGCTACTTATTACTTTTAAAGAATCAGATGACTCTGCAGTAGTAATTAATTGTACTATTTGAGAAAAGTATAAAACAATATATAAGCCTAACTGTGTTGAAATCATTTAAGTTAATAGACCTTTGAAAATAATGTATTAGTGTCCAAGTTCATATGGAAGTTTGTCAAAAATATGATGTATTATCATATAACACAATATGACTCATGCATCTGCATGTACATCATACGAATTTTCTTATATGATTATCAAACCTCGAGTATCAAACAGTTAAAATATATGGGCAATCTATGAAATCAATGAAGTAGACAAATATATATAAGAATATGAAATGGCTTTTTCACAGCTAATTAAACATTGGCAACAGATGATTTTTTAATTTTGCTTCTTCATCTTTCTATACATCATGTACATGTATTTCTTAATCATCTGAGTTATTCCCCCATACAATGTTCCATTCTAAAATATTAAAATACTGCAACATCAAAAAGATTTTACTTCAATAAAGTTTTACTCCAAACTTGAATGAAAAATATTGATATTTTTCCATAATTTTTCTGTCAGTATGGAATATGCCAATCAAATTTATTTGCACAAAAAGTGTATACATTTCACCAGCAGACGTAAAATGTATGCATTTCTCCTACTATATAAACCTATCAAACTTCAGTACATGTGAGGTCTGCTGCCATTGGATTAAACATGATATATTACACTATGTAATGAATACTAAGAAAAAATGAAAATGACTTACTACTAAGAAAATATGAAAAAGTAACTAAGTATACTATATAATAAGAAAAATATGACTACTATATACTATCCAATGGTGAACTTTGACCTCTTTTGCCATTTGGGAAATAATTAACAATATTTTATTTTTTTCTTAATTTGATGTGTTCCAATGTTAAGCATTGTTAAGTGCCACAATATAAGAATTTTTCAATTATTTAATTTTGCCTTCAAAGAATTTTTTTTACCTCCTTATGATATGATTGTAAAACATAACATTCAACAGTGAATCATTAGGATATGACATAATTTTTGACATGTTGCATATAATTTGTAAACAGATGCAGTATATCTGGTGGAAAAGACTGCACTGATTCACAAAAAAATTCTAACATTAGAGTACGGGAAATTATAAAAATATTACAACTAATCAGGCACGGATCCAGCTGTTATTAAAAAAAAAAGGGTGGGGTGGGGTGTGTTCCAACCATATGTCCCCATACATAGCATTAGTTGTCAAACAAAAAGGGGGGTTCTGACCCCCTGGGACACCCTCCTAGATCCACCACTGCTAATCCTAACACAAATATTACTGTACTTATCCAAATTAAATGTTTTGCAAATTAAATAAAATGAAGTGAAGAGGTAAATTCACAATGCTGTAAATCTCAGACAGTGTCTTTTATAAATTACTGGTAAAAAGGCAATAAACAAGAGGCTCTCAAGAGCCTGAATTGCTCACTTGTAATTTTTTGCTTAAATCTTTCATCAATGATTATTTTTGCTTTTCAATATATATTAATGAATGGCTTAAAACTTCCATTGAAATGTTCTTTGTATCTGTCATATTTTCTTCAAAATCAAAGAAATGTATTTTACCCTAGGTTTCATTTTAGCCATAGTGGCTATGTTTCTTGACGTACAAGAAAATAAAATACAAAATTTATACTAGATACTCTGAAACTCATTCAGCCCAAGTTTAGCTGAAATTGATTCAGCAGTTTCAAAGAAGAAGATTTTTTAAAGTAAGCAAACTAAATGAACAAATTGTGAAAAATTGATTTTAAAGGGCAATAACTCCTTAAGGGGACAATTGACAATTTTGATCATACGAACTTATTTGTAGATCTTACTTTGCTGAACATTTTTGCTGTTTACAGTTTATCTTTATCATTAATAATATTCAAGATAATAACCAAAATCTGCAAAATTTCCTTAGAATTACCAATTAAGTGGCAGCAATCCAACAATGTGTTGTTATATTCATCTGAAAATTTCAGGGCTGACAGAGCTTGGCCTAATAAACATTTTTACCTCTCATCAGATTAGCTCTAAATGCTTTGGTTTTTGAGATATAAGCCAAAAATTGTATTTTACCCCTACGTTCTATTTTTAGCCATGGCGGCCATGTTTTTTTACAAAACAGAAAATGAACCCAAACTTTATTCTAGATACCCTTAGAATCATTCAGCTTAAGTTTGGTTGGAATTGGTTCAGTAGTTTCAGAGAAGAAGATTTTTTAAAAGTTAGAAAACATGATAAACAAATTGTGTAAAATTGTCCTTAAAGGGCAATAACTCCTTAAGGGGTCAATTGACAATTTTGATCATTGAACTTATTTGTAGATCTTACCTTGCTGAACATTTTTGCTGTTCACAGTTTATCTTTATCATTAATAATATTCAAGATAATAACCAAAAACTGCAAAATTTCCTTAAAATTACCAATTTAGTGGCAGCAACCCAACAATGGGTTATCAGATTCAACTGAAAATTTCAGGGCTGATAGAACTTCACCTAATGAACACTTTAACACCATGTCAAATTTGCTCTAAATGCTTTGGTTTTTAAGATATAAGCCAAAAACTGCATTTTACCCCTATGTTCTATTTTTAGCCATGGCGGCCATGTTATTTGACGAAACAGTAAATAAAACTCAAACTTTATTCTAGATACCCTGAGCATCATTCAGCTTAAGTTTGGTTGGAATTGGTGTAGTAGTTTCAGAGGAGAAGATGTTTGAAATAGTTTACACCAGACGGACGATGACGGACGACGACAGACGCCAAATGATGGCAAAAGCTCACCGTTCGGAACGGTGAGCTAAAAATGTTCATTAATGACTTTTGAAAATCTAACATTGGAAATCACCACTGAAAATAGGTTGGAAAAAATCATGAAGTTTTTAATCTTCCTAATTATAGTTGTTCTACATACAGACTGTGGAATAAATGTGAAAACATTAACATTAAAATTTCATAACTATGCAGTATTTTAGTGTTCTAACATGAAATAAAACAAATCCACAAACGCTACATAGAAAACTAAAGATTGAGCACCACATACTCCTTCAAAACGGGAGGAAAAAAATGTATGAAAATTGTATCATGCTTGCCAGTTTTTTAGTTTCTATAAAAATAATGATGAAAGAAAAAAGAACTATTACATGTTTTTTTTTATTTTATGTTTTTTGTTCACTTTAACTTGCTACACCATTTGATTTTGAAACAAATTAAAATGAAATAAATTTATCAATAATTTTTTTTTAAATATAGTAGTACAATCTTCATGAATGACAAATACAGTATCTATATTTTTCATTCACAATAATCAGTCACAGGCCAAACATTGAAGTAACAGTATTCTTTTATTAATATGGAGATCATAACACTCAGGCAATATTACAAGAATGTTTATATACATGTAAACAAGTTTGAACAGGGTTATTTCCCATGCAACACAGGGTTAAAACAAGTTTCTTAATATTGCTGTAAATGTTAACTTTTAAATTTTCAAATTTCCCCTTGTGCCTTATAACTGCTTTGACCAAAGTCTGAATCTTAAGCACAGAAGCTTGAATGATTATATTTTAGTATTTGCCAAGAATATTTTCTTTTCATACCTCTGTTTTCTGATCACCTTAAAATAGACAGCTATATATACTGCCAAGTTTCTTATCCTACTGAGGTCTGCTACCATTGGATTCTGGTTAAACTTGTACTTATGTATGAACTAATGATGACTTATATGAATATGAAGCTTAATGTTAATGAAGACTTATCTCTCCAATGGTGAACTTTGACCTCTTTTGTTCAAATTACAATTTTTTCATGTCATAATAATTTTTTTTTAATACCACACATATACATCATGTACATGAATGAAATTATTCCCTGCTTTTATCACAAACCAACCCCTTTTTATAACCCTGTAATTCTTTTTTTATTTATTCCCCCAATTTCATCTCCAATCTCTCAATTTCAAAGATCCAATGCTTTAAAACTTCATTTTGTTTTTTATTTTAAAGTTTCACTTAGAGTTATCTCCCATATCTAAATGTTACAGAAAACTTGGATGTGACAGTTTAACAAAAATCTCCCTCAAGGAGTACCACATAATATATATGTAGACAAATATATCTTATTCAAAATAAGTTTATAGATAAAAGTTCTCTCAATACTATCATGACTATATGATGATGGGTCTATCTGAGTGAATTACTAACTAGATCTGTTACACCTCATAAACAACTATGAACCAAAAAATGCAGGCATGGCAAAAAAGAGACCCCCAAATATAATTTTCATGAAATTTTCAAAATATATCGGGTACAATTATTCAAAAGTTAGTAGATAAATTAGAAGGGGACACAAAATTGGTCATACAACCACATTGTACATACAAAATGTGACAAACGATCTGCAGCAAAGGCAATAAAGACAAAGTGAAGACAACTGCTATATTTCAGAATGACAGAAAATACTCATGGATGTGACTATTTACAATTCAATAGCAGGGCATAAAAGTATCTGTGTTTAAAAGTTTCTTAACCTTTTGTAATATATATTAATTATCCATCATAAGTTATGATAGACATTGTATATGCTTTTAATTAACAATCATGAATAGCAGAAATGTTCTCTGAATTTTCACTACCACTGAATCTTCCTGCCTGTGGTGGATTATCAGTCCCAGATGTAATATCCACATGGTATCCAGTGATTAAGTACTAACAAATTAAAGTTTTTAAGCACAACAACTGTAATAGGAGTTATAAAGAGAGAAAAGCCTGTATTCATAGACAGAGGGCTGAGAGAGGGAAGATAATAAGTTGTTTCTCCAAACTCCAATTCAACTTATCGTCACACAAGCATAAAAAAGAAAACTATATAATACTATCAAAATGCAATGAAAGCCCTGTTATCAAAAGAAGCCCAAAAAGCACTAAATCAGCTTTTTTTTTTAAATTTTACTGTTCAAAGGAAGTAAAAATGAAATACAAGATTATAAAACAAATTCATTCTAATAGATCTCAGCAATTATATGCATTGTTTTTCTTTGTATGTTTTTTTTTTAAATTCCTGAACATCTAATGATACAACTTATGCAAAATGGAATATATGTATCAGATCAAAAATAAAATTTAGATTGTCTGATGATGCCTAACTACCCACTTAAAAAGCAGCCTACCCTAAAAAATTAATAACACAACTCAGTTTAAATTTTTTAAAAAGATTTTTTCCTCCTCTTAACGTCAGTTTTTTTGTCTAAAACATGTAAATTATGGTGTTGGCCAAAAAAATACAATCCCAACTTCCTATGACCTTACCCAACCCTACAAGGCATGGGTAGGCAACATCAAACAAAGAATTTTTTAAGGGTGGCCTCAAATTAAACTGTAAACATCATTTACAGTCTCCTCTAACAACATGTACTGTATCTATACTTTCATTTACAAACACTCAGTCATAGGCCTAACAAGGTCAATTTTTTTTATTTATATGATGATCATACCCTCAGGCAATATTACAAGAATGTTTATACATGTTAACATGTTTGAACAGGATTATTTCCCATGCAACACAGGGTTATAACTAATTTCTAATTATTGATGTAAATGTAAAATCTCAAATTTTCAAATTTCAATTTTTGTCTATTTACTGGTTTGACCAAAATATGAATCAATAACATAGAAGCATAAATTGATAATATCTTAGTATTTGCCAAGAAAAAAATCTTTTGCACCTTGCATACTTTTCACCTTAAAATAGATAGCTATATATACTTTCAAGTTTCTTATACTACTGAGGTCTGCTACCATTGGATTCTGGTAACACTTATACTTATCAATGAACTAATGATGACTTATGAATATGAAGCTTAATAATGATGATGACTTATATGTCCAATGGTGAACTTTGACCTCTTTTGTTTAAATTTACTTTTTTTTTTTTCAACACAATTTTTTCCCAACTTCCCACCTTTTGCTTGGACTTTATATTACTGCATGGAATTCAGAATAAGTACATACATGTAGCACAATACAAGCACTTTTAAAAAATCTGATCTTTTTTTAATTCCTATTGCTACTGCATATTTATTTCAAGTTTCAATGCTTGAAATATTCATTTTTATTGTCATTTTTAGATTTCGACTCAGAGTTATCTCCCATATCACAATGTTACAGAAAACGAGATGTGACAGTATTAGATAAATTCCTCTAACAGGAGCACATAAAATGTTGACAAATATATTTTCTTCAATGCCAGGGTTTCAATTCTGTGAAAGGTATCTATGTGAGCAAATGGTGAAAAGCAAGCTTGATCAGATACAATTTTACATACACAACTTTGTATTAAATTCTGTATGCATGGCAAAACATTGTGTGCACAAATACAATTTTCATGAAATGTTCAAAACATATGTAATTCTGTTATAAAGTAGATGAACTAGACGGGAACATAAAATCAATATGCATTCGTGGTCATAAAAACCTGTTACTACATTGTATATATACAAAAATATCACACTACTACTATTTTGAGGTAAGTATTGTTACTGTAAAACACACACATTTCATCATGCACTATCAAAAACAGAATAGGACAAGACTTGGTGAATAGAATAAGAATATGCTGCATGTCTTTTTTGTCATATTTCATTATCAATAATGTTTGGAAGTTCCCATAACTCTGCAAGGTAAACAACTAAAATCTTCATATCAATAAAATGAATAACTGTACTCACCTTAGCTCCAGGTAAATCTTCCTCACCATATTTGATAGCAGCTTGTAATTTAGTGATCTGAAAAAGGCAATTGATAAAAATTCTAAATTTACATTTATTGTGTTGAGACGGTTTTGCAAAAATGAACAGTAATACTTCAAGGTAGTTTACTATGAATTGATTTATTTTTTGTGGATACAAAATTCTAATTTTCATTGATTGAGGAAAAATTTTTGGATTGAGAAAGAATTAAATTCTTTGTGGATATTTGATTGGTTTTGCTAAATGATGCTGTATACAAGCTAATGGAAAATGTGTACATCATTTGACCTATACCCATGAAATCCTCAAAAATCGGTATCCTACGAAAAATAATGACAGCACAATATTTTCTTTTTCAGTTTGAAAGGGATAAGAGATCGATGAAAAGAGGAAAATATTTTCTCTATGAATTTCAAAATCAGTAAACATGGTAAGATGATGATTGATTGGGATTTAATGCCCAGTCACAAATACTTGATGTATATAAAGTGATTGTGATATGAATATAAACCCTGCTTTGTACTAAATCAACATGCTGAGCTAGATTTTTTAAATGGCTATTTCACAAGGTAAAAATCTGCAGGAAGACATCCTATACATTCAAAGACTTTAATCCAACACCAGCCCAACCAGTCTTCTGCTCTTACTCCTAAATAATGTGTCATTAGAGGCTAAGCAGCAAATACCAATTTTCAAGTCGTCAGAGATGGTCAACTGATGAACAAACAAGGCCAGAATTGTGCTGACCACAGTGTTATTGTAAACATGGTTAAAGAAAATAAAATAGTGTAAATAATTGTATACATCTTATAACTTTTAGAATTTATTGGGACTGGTTAAAACATCAAGATCTTAACTTTTTGAATTGAAAGAAGCATGAGAAACTGACATTATCACCTAAATACCCCACTTCAAACAATTAACAATGAAAATGAGCTCAATATATATCAAATCATCCATTACAGACAGACATGACAGACACAATGACAGACATATAATCCTAAATACTAAAGATCATGTGCTTTCTGAAATATCAAGCTTTATACATTTCTGCTGTTACAGCTACGTACATGAAAATGCATACAAACTATGCGTTTGGCCTTCATTGACATTTGTGGCAGATGAGATGATAATGATAAGTGATGAATTATTCATATAAACACTAATTATTAATTAACATCTATAGGTAATATGATTCTTTCTTGTACAATTTATTCATATTTAACAATCAATCTGATTAAAATAAGATCCTGTGTCCAAGCTTTGCTAACAAGGTTCTTACAACACTCCATTCTACTTTCATTTCTAGTAATTATTGCATCAACCAATGATATTACTGCCTTGAAATTTTTGATTTGATTTTGATTTTGGTGTTTTAACGCCACTTTTAAGCACCGCTTTTGGGCTATTTCGTGGCGGCCAGTTTTTATTGGTGGAGGAAGCCAGAGTGCCTGGAGAAAACCACCGACCTTTGATAGGAAAATGAAATTTTTGAAGGTATGTACATGTATCACTACGATAAAACCAGAAGATCCAGAAAAATCTTTGAAACAGAAAGTAGAATGAAGCATTGTCAGATCTTTATAAGCAGGATCTGTAATTTAATCAGATTGATTTAACAATGTCAATTGGTACAGTAAACTATCAAAAAAAGTTTAACAAAACAATAAATATAACAAACATAAAGAACTGTAAAATTATGAACCTCACCATTAGTTTCTTTTTAGCGATTGCTTTTGAATCCTTTGAGAATAAAATATTATTACAGCAAGAAATAAATCTATATCAAATCCATTCATATTATTATTTTTCCTAATGCTTTTTCAAAACATTTAAACAATGAAATGAGGATGAATGTAATTTTACTTCTTGTAACCTCAATCAAATAAAAAAAAAAAGAGAGATGTTTCAGTTATTTACAACTAAAGTAAACGAAGCGAAGATGATAGATGTTTATATAATGGACAGTTATACTTAAAATTGAGTGTAATTATGGTTGATTCCAATGATTATTGTTAAGTCAAGGTATTTGGTTAAAGACAACGTTATTTGTGAGTTTTTTTGGCTTAAAATCTACGTCAGTACCGTGAGCAAAGGGATCATAATCTTTATAGGGATAATTTCCATGTCACAGTTTTAAAAATGGGATAAATGAAAAAAATCAATTATTTTCTGTAGGTAGAATTGAATATATAATGTGCATCAGAAAACAGACAGATGCTTGAAACATGTACATGTATAATGATGTAAAGTGGGCACAATAAACTTGTAAGTACAAAATTGCAGGGACCAAGTTAGCAAATAAAACATTTAAATAATGTCAGAAATCAGTATATAGTAAAGAGTTTTTCTGTTAATGGAAATGATGTGTATCAAACATACAGTACAAACTGTTTGTGTTCTATAAAATTATATCATTTGTTGCTTAGAAATGAAGAAATATGGTTGATGAAATCTTACCTTGCCTTGGTACTCTGGATTGTCTATCTGACAGGCAACTTTCATGGCCTCCTGATACAAACAAGCCTTGTGTAGTGACTGTGAATAATACAGTTTATAATCTTCAACTTCTGGGTGCATTATACTCAACTGTTCATAGCAGTCTGAAGCATTAACGAAATCCTGCATTTGGAAATAGCAATATCCCAACAACGACAAGGCTGCTCTTGACTGAAAAATAAAGCACAAGATCAGCTAAATTTTTTGGGTACGAATTTGTGTATGTGATTTTCAGATTTTGTATTTTTTTTCAAATTTCAATAGTATACAATGTACTAAATCTTTGGCTCCAACATTCCCTGTGAAATCCAGGTAAAGTAATAACCATCTAAAGAAAAACATTACATTTTTTATGCAGACAAGTTAATGTTTTGAAATCAGATTTGTCTCCCCTAAAAAATTTAATGAAAATAATCCTTGGGATTGATAATCATTACTTTTTTAAATGTATCCACACATAAAAAAGTAAAGGATTGACAATACTAAAAAAAAGTCTATGGTGTCTAAACCTACAAAGTAAATGAAAAAAAACCTTTAGTTACCAACGTTTCCTTCATTTGATCTACCAGTAAGTTCTTTAAAAGAATGAGTGTACATCATCCAAACTCTTAATCTTCCGTTAAGTTAAAAAGATCATAAGTTACTTAAACAATTAAATTTTTCATAATAATATTTGATTTTCTGTTTTGGATTCTTTTTAAAGATACTTAAACATATGCATGTAACAATGTTAAAGAAGGTTTTAAAATTTTGATTTCAGTTAAGGGACGAAAATTCCATGAAAATCGATGTGGCTGGGAAGGTAGGGACCTCCAGATTCACCTGAAAACAAACATACTTTTTTAAATAATTTAACATACATAAAACGGACAAACTTCTCTTGATTTTTTTTTTAATAAATATATTTTATAGCATACTTGTAAAGACTTAAGATAGAACATGTAGAATGACAACAAAATGAATGAGGCAACTGCAATATCAAGATTGTTTCAAGTTATTTCTTAAGGATGTTCGCTCCTGTTTTAACTACATTTGTACCCTGTGGTAGGAAATTCTGGTACTCGGTCAAGAGCAACTAAGAGTAGTGAAACCAAGCTTACAATCAGTGCAATTTGGAGCAAAGATTAACTTTTTATTTTATCATTTTGTCGTGTAAAGAAAACATAAAATAGTGAATTTTTTCCCCAAATTGCACCTATAGTAAGCTTGATTTTGCTTTTTTTAAGTTGATCTTTCTTGACTAAGTACCAGAATGTCCTACCACAGAGCAGGTGAACTGTTGAAAATTATATACTCCAGAATCAAAAGTCTGAAATATGAAAAGAGTCTATTGGCATCTGGACAAATCTGCTAAAAAAAATACCAGTTGTTTCACCATGCTGAAACAACTTGTTGAGGCATCATCCTGTCTAGCCACAACACCACCTGATTACCTTCTTTAACTTTACAATTACCATTATGCTTCAGCAGCAGGTTGTACACATAACTCATTGCATATACATGTACAAGTACTGCAATGCAAAATAACAAAAATATTGCATTTTTGCAAAACAAGACAGCATTCTGACATTCAGACTATTTCAAAGACTGCAAACATAATACTTACTTTCTGATGACTTTGTAGTTGATTATTAAGAATCTGGACTGCATCATTGTATCTTTGATCTTTTACCTAAAAGAAAGTAAATACATTTCATGTAAGTTACATGAAGGCATCATGTAAATTTTAAAATTTATCCTTCTGCCCTGAAAAAAATTCTTTGCTTACCAAATATCATTGACTTACCATAAGTGGTTCCAATTAAACTAAACCAATCACAAAATTTAACATGAAAACTAAGCAAAATGCTTCAAAGTCAATAGAACATGACTGAGGGGGCTGAGGACCATTTATCAATAGGACCAATGAGAGATGCTAATACATGTATACTTCAAACCAAATATCATTGACCTACATTTGTAATCACAAACTTACACATTGTTGACATCACTGTAGCTGCTGTTAACATCATGCCTTAGACTTGTCTACATTTGAAGGATATTTAATCACTTTGGCAAGATCTATCTTACATTGTTTTACCAACTTGTACTTCTACATGTACCTACTTTTTTGTAGAATTTTTATATATCATTTACTAAGTTTAATGGTAAACTGAATTGTAATTTTGTATTTTACCATTGATCTAATGATAAAATAATAAATAAACATTTGTTATTGAAAAACGTTATTTACAATTTTTTCAAGTTGAACTTTTTTTCCCTATAATTAATGTCATGATAATCATGATAATCATCAGAAACATTCGAGTGTTAAACTTTATATTCCTAACAGTAAACACAATGCGTCTGTAATTAAGCATGATTTCATGCACACCTAAAGCATGCCAATTTTAATTATTCAACAAATTTTCACACCTGATGTAATTTTCTACATATAGAAATGGGTGCAGGCCGTTTCGTAACCTGGTCGTTTCGTAACTAGTCGATTCGTAACTTACTAGGTCGTTTCGTACCTGAGACGTTTTGTAACCTTATATCAATATATAATAACAATATGAGTCGTAGATTACGTAAAAAATAACAAAAAGACTTATTGATGTATATATATATATCTATATTTATTTATTAAATAATTGATTGCACATAATTTTACACTTTACAAGTACACGGTTTTGCATTTATATGTACCCCGTCTTTATCAAAGTATTTAGTCTTCAGCCACGTGCTTTGATGTCTCCAATACTTGACACCACTCATCTTTATGTTGCTTAGTTCTTTATTTATCTTCTATTTAAATGTCTCAATGACTGTACTTTTCTCCCGCCTACCCCGTGAAGCTTTGTTTGGACAGAACTTGATAAGTCGGATTGCGTTCTTAACATCCAATTTTCCAGTCTTCGGATGAAACTGTGACTGATCACAAGTACTTTGGGCTTATCTACTGTTAGTGACATATTTGGCGTTTATAGATGAATGAAAAGGAGTAAAAAAAAATGCTATTATACCATTAAGTGAACGGATGAAAAACTGATCAGGCTTTATGCCAGTATAAACATGCAAATAAAGGACAACATAGTGATGTATCTGAAAGAAAGAAAAAGAATAGAATAAGATAAAGTGTTCTTAAAAAAAAAAAAAAACTTTGAACTCCGCCAACGCCGGTCCCCAGTCGGGTGAAAAAGGAGGAGGGTTATGCGCATGTAAAAGTGAAAAAAAAAGGAGAATTATTATTTTTCTCAGGTCGTGTGCCATTAATCTACTTAATCACTTTACACCTACTGTAATTACTTTTTATTACCAGTCATTAGTTGTCTATATCTTTATTTCTCATAAAGCCAATGCATTACATCAGTACAGAGATAACAACAATAACTATTTACAATATATACAAAACAAGGAGAGAGGTTACAGAAGTCACTAGCCAGGAGGACAAACAAAAGTATTAACATTTTTTATAAATAAACAAAGTTTCTTCAGGACTGGTTTCCGTGTACTCGACATAAGTTCCGAGAATTTAGATGTATTATGTCGTTGTACAAAATAGGAGGATAAATACTCTGTACGTTTTTGATCGAAAAAAGTACATTCAAATATATAGTGATATTCGTCACCGATTTGTCGATTGTTACATTGATGGCAAACACGGTTTTCTCTCAATACGTTTTGCCACCTTCCTGTTTCAATCGGCAATTTATTATTAGTCGTTCTAAATCGACAAAGAACAACGGCATCTTTAAAGTCCAAAATATTAAAATATTCCTCAAATTCCAAGTTTTTCTAAAAAATTTTGTAGTTTATAGCTTTTGACGAATTTTGAATAAGGGAATTCCAATTCTGAAGAAACTGGTCTAATAATCTTTGCTGTATAACAGTTTTTAACCAATCTTTATCTATATAATTTTGTGTTTCCCATATATATGAAAAACCACAATCTTGAAATATTTTTTTGACAAATAGAATCCATTTAGTCTGCATATTATAATGAGCGTTCATATGGCGAGAAAGTTGATACAATATAAAGGAAAACTTTGCTTGTTTGCCGTAAATCAAATTTGCCCAAAATAATACTACTCGAACTTTTATATCTATGTCAACCGGATGGCGACCTAGTTCCCCGTAAACCATATAATTTGGTGTTGAGGATTTCAGATTTAAAAGTAATTTACAGAATTTTAAATGTATCTTTTCTAATACCTCATTATTACTAAAACCCCATACTTCGCACCCATACAACAGAATGGGCTTGACAATTTTGTCAAAAAGATCTAGCTGACATTTTATGGAAAGCTGATACATCCTCCCCATTTTCAGGACTTCGTACATGGCTTTTAAGGCCTTATCGGATAAATGTTTTTTTGTCATATTAAAATTCCCTGTTTTAGTAAAAATAATTCCCAAATAGTTAAACTGCTTTACTATCTCAATGTTAGTGTCATTGTAAGAAAATCTGAGATTTTTTGGCAAACGTCCAAAACCAAACACTAAAGCTTTGGTTTTGTCAACGTTTACCTTCAATTTCCAAACCTTACAATAATCATGAAAGGCATTGAGTTGAGTCTGCAGGTCCTGTGCTGATTCGGCCAGCAATACCGTGTCATCTGCATACAATATAATAAAAAACTTTAAATATATTTCTAATTCTCTTTCCAGATCTTCTGAAATAGTTTTAAGTCCTGTGATATTTTTACTGACTAAGAAATTTTCTAAGTCATTCAAAAATAAAGAAAATAGGAAAAGTGATAAGTTTTCCCCTTGTCTTACACCATTTTCACAAGCAAAGTATTCCGAATTACAATTATTATATGATATACGAGATTTAATATCACTGTACATATTCAATATAACATTATACATCTTACCATTTATATTATTCAATAGCATTTTATAAAACAAACCATCTCGCCATACAGTGTCAAATGCCTTCTCAAAATCTACAAAGGCACAATATAATTTCTTCTTCTTACATTTCAACAGTTCAAAAAAAGAATATAAGGTAAACATATTATCTGTAGTAGAATACTTTTGACGAAAACCACTCTGGTTTTCTTGTATGATAATAAATTCATCTGAAAAATCATTTAGTCTTTTATTTAGTATTCCAGTAAATAGTTTTCCCAGGCAACTAACAATAGTGATTGGTCTATAGTTCTTTGGATCTTTAGAGTCGCCTTTATTTTTATATACAGGTTTAATAGTACCAATTAGCCAACTTTGTGGAATTATGCCTTTATCGAATATAATATTAAAAAGTTTCTCATAAATACATATAAAATGGCTTGATGTGGATTTTATGTATTCATTTATAATTTCGTCTTCTCCACAAGCTTTGTCATTCTTCAGTTTCTTAATGCACTGAAGAATTTCATCTTGTGAAAAAGGCGAATTTATATGTTCATTTAGCTGCTCACTTTGCATGGGATCAATGTCGGGAAAACGCACAGTTTGATCATCTTCCGGTGCAGCGTTCAAGTTTTTGAAAAAATCGTGTAATTTTCCTATATCAATATCGGGTTGCTTTTTCATCTTTCCTTGATTCAGAATTTTCCAAAATTCTTTCGGGTTGTTGCCACGCAAATTTTGAATTTTGTTTGTAAGATCATATCTATATTTTCTGTTTTTGTTATCGAGAACCTTTTTATAAACTTTTTCGGCATTTAACATGTCCAAATGGTTTTGGCAACTATTTTTCGACTTAAATCGTCTCTTTAATTTTCTGTAGTTTTGGCGTGCAAATTTACATTCCACATCAAACCAGGGTTTATTTTGATTTCCACTTTCTCCCTTTTTTTTATTCCGTTTTACGGTAGAGATACCAAAAGTTGCTTGCCCACACCTGACAAAAATGTTACATAAATCACCTATAAATGAATTAACTACATTTTTATTAACATCGTTCAAATCAATATTACAAAGTTTGTGTTCTAATTCTACAATTTTTTCAACATCAATATTATTTTGAAAATCTTTTATCTTTTCAGAATCCCATCTATTTATTTTCTTAAAAGTATTATAGTGACTATTACAATCAACATTTTCTGCATGGTCGTCTGCCAAGTTTTTATTACAATAAAAAGTGACAGAAAGAGGGTTATGAACATCTGATAATAATTTACTTGAATCTAAAACCTCAAAGTCCTTAAATGATTTTAGAAGTCCAGGACTGCTAATACAATAATCAACGACACTGGCATTGCGACAGGTAAATCGCCCAATATTTTGATCCCGTCCCATCCTCCCATTTAGTATGAAAACGCCGTTACCTTTACAAAAATTCAACAGCATATTTCCATATCTATTTTTTCCTTTATCCATATTTACACGATTAATAGGGAAAGAGAGATCTCTAAGAGCATTAACGGGATTTTCGATAAAATCAGATAAATTATTATCACCATGTTCATTTTCATCTATAATTACAAAATCATCATCACAACCTGTTCTGGCATTAAAGTCGCCTAAAAGGCATATATAATTTGAATAATTTGAAAAGCGTAAGTATTCTTGTTCAATCTGATTTATCGCTTCATCTGATGAATACTTAGTATATTCCGGAGGAATGTAAACAACGCCAAAAATAACGGGTTTATCTAAATTAAAAACTTTCCCGTTAACTTGAAACCACAGAACATATTTACAATCTGTTTCTTTAATTTCTATCATGTTCTTTAAATTTTCCGTATAACCAACTATAATACCTCCTGACCGTCTGCTAGTCACCGTTTTTCTGTTTTTCATTTTAAAGTGAAAACCAGGAAAATTTATGACATCAATATCGTCCGTTTTCGTCTCAACAAAACATACGATATCGTGCGTTTTAATTATATTTTCAAATTCTGGATATTGCATTCTGGACTTTATGCCACAACAGTTCAGACATAAAATGTTAACATCATTAATGACATGATTACTATTATAGGTACTATTTACACTCGGTGAACGACCACTAGTGTCATAGGAATATGAACTATTTAACTCTCTGTCATTTAAATCATCATTTAAAAAATCTGAATAGAAATTAGCAATGATTTCTGAAAATAAATTGTATAATTCAACTGCAGTAAAATGGTCTGTTACATTCAAATCATTACACAATTCAAAGTACGACCTTTTGTCTATGTCACATGATCGTCTATTTTCACACTGGTCAACATTTTCATTAGGTTTAACCTGTGTGTTTTGATCTTTAAGATGTACAAGTATATTGTCATTTTCAAGTAATGAATGAGCAATACAGTTTATATTTTCAGATAAACAACTATGGGTATTTTCATATATTACATTGTCAATAAATTCAGTAGTATATTTTACTCCATGGCTATGCTAGGCGCCATTGCCATTTATTGGTGGGGATGAATCTGAGCGTCTCATCCTTTTGTAAGGCCTGTCCGTATCTTTTGGCGTGGTCAAAAGGGAATCGCGGTAACTGTTAGAATTATCACTTCTAGGGTTACCATTTCTCATATCCACATGTTCCAAGCTTTCATCAAGGATATATTGTTTGCCGTCTATAAAGAGTTTATCACGGACAAGTACAGCATGTTTACCCGAATATTTGGCTTCCTTCTGTATAGGATATAACTTCCTACGACATTCTTCTATTTCACTCGGAAACTGTTGGTGAATACTGTATGGTGTCTTTTTTAGCCATCTGGCATTATCCAGCACCATCTTAAGGTCATTGTGGTATAGAAAACGCGCCACGATAGGCCTCGGATTGTTCCTAGAGCGTTTACCGAATCGGTGAACGTTACCAAATTCGATATCGTGTTCTATACCTAATTGTTCATAAATGAAACTACGGAGTTTTTGCTCGACATCTTCCGTATGTTGTTCTTCCAAATTTTTGAATATTAAATTGTTCTTCATAGAACGACATTGAAGATCTAGAACAGTATTTTGCAAAGTTTGTATTCTACTTGTATCATGTTGTTGTGTGTTCGATTTGGTGTTTTCTAACTGTTTTTCAAGATTTTTTATTTTGCGCGACATTTTTTCGGAATCATTGTTGACTTTTTTTATTTCATCTGAGTGCTTGATCAGCTGGGCCGCATGTTGACTGATCACCTCGTCTCGTTTGTTGCTTTTATCCTTGACATCATCAAACAGATCGCTTAGCACTTGGCAACTAGTCTCTATCTGCTTTTGCGACTTAACAATATCTGTAACCGAAGTTTCAAGTTCTCTAACCTGCGAGGACATGAGGAGAAGGTCCTTCCTCAAATCTTTGACGGACTCAACTGATGTTTCGATAGATTTCAATCTGCCGTCAATAGATGAAACAATACGGAGAAGCATGTTCAGCATCACTGGTGTATTTATACTAACATCATCACTCTCGTTAAAAATCTTTTGACTTTCCGTCAATAGTTTTGAAGTTTCCTCAAGCGACATCTTGAAATTAATATTAATATATCTATAATCAATAACAACGAGTGTTGTACCGCTAGCGTTATAATTAAAGGTCAATGTTAATAGTAGAGGACAGTTCACGCTTTTGGTAATATAACGAGTTGTTGTGAGCACTTTTTTTGAATCCTATAGTGTTGTGACTGTTTCTCTGTGAGGTTAAAGGTCAAACTAGAAAATTTTGATGATAACTCCTTTATATCTTTGTTTCCAGCAGTAATACGGGTATCAGGATTTCAAGCTACCCGGGGCCGGGGTCCACAGGATGGTCATATTAACCTTTACCGTACATTTAAGCCCGAAAAAAGGTGTTTACTATACTTTTTACCGGAGCTAGATTTAACCAACCTCCATCTTGGCTTTCGGAACCTCTCTCTTGTTGTCATAAAACCATTAAAGTTGTCACCGAGCGTAATTACCAATTAGCCAATTAGCCAATAATAAAAAAGATTTAAGAAAGTTTTAAATTAAAAATATTACAATATTGTTATTATAAGATGAACAATTTGATCATTTTTAAATAATAACTTTAACTGTTTCAATCAATTTTTAAACTAACACTTTATATAACCATATATAATTACACCAGGTACGAAACGTCTCAGTTACAAAACAACGCAGTTACGAATCGACCAGGTACGAAATGACCAGGTTACGAAACGACATGCATTCATATATACATGTATACAAATTTAGACGGTAAACTAAGATTTATTTTACAAGGCTTTGTTTCAAATTCACTATTTAACATGTTTAATATCAAGTTTAACTATAGGAACAATATTATTGGAAAAATAAAAAAGTGAGTGACTGCAGAGATGTTTTTTCAATGAGGGTAAGTCAACATACTTTGATACTCAATGTGTCCCATTTATTCCGAAATTTATGTATAATATCAACTATTCTGCTTTTTTTGTTAATCAACTCAGTGCAGTGTGATAGAGAAATATCTCTTCATGCAAGAAATAGATAACAGGCCACAACCATAAGAGAAACTGTGATAGCAATGAATAGTTATTCTGTTCTTCATATAAAATATATATATTTAGTCGGTTGTGCCCAATCTGTCAGGAATTTTAAAATAACTAAATTTCTAGATATACGTATCTGACTCTGACTGTTAAAAACTATCATTTACAAAAGTGAAATAATAACGCAAAGAATTACCAATCCATAAATTGTTGAGGTATATTCGCCTTCTTTCAGCTGAAGATGAGCCATATTCCTGTATCCAATGTAAACTAACTCAAACTCAAGATTGGAATGCAAGTCTCAATCAAATAGACGCTTTATGCAAAATTATTGTTTATAAAAAGCATTTAAAAGATTGAGGTCGTATTTTAAATCTTAGTCATTTCTACGTTTAATCATTAATAAAACTACCACCGTCATCGAAAAGAAACTTTTTGACCATGCAAAACAGGATTTGGGGGATTTGGATTTGGCAATCATCTGGAGCATGTTATTGTTAACTTACCGTTAAACAAATTTCACTATGATTTGACGCCTTTGATTAGTAAAGCTAGTGTAAGCCATTTTATCAAATCTTATTTCAATATACGTTCATTCAAAATAATGACAATTTACAAGACTACAAATAGTACAAATTCTGTCGGTCGAAGATCGATGAGTGTCAGTGACAGGTAGATTTAAAATCTTCTCTTAATAAACCACTTTCGAAATTCGAGTTCGTTGTCAAAAACTTTGGATTTAGTGAACATCATTGGTGCGTTTATGGGCATCGTCACTTCCTTCACTTGTTCAGTTGTTGAGCGATCGGTTAAAAAAAAAAGTATATTGCAGGAAGTATTTGGCAAATTAGATTCTTATAGTTGATAATCCACACTGCTGTCATATGGGAATTGGGAATTGTGATTAAGTACCTACGGAACAAACAGTATTTCTAGTTTATCCTGCATCATGACAATCCAAAGATGCTTGATAAACTTTAATAGTACAGGGATACAGGCGGTCCCCTCTATCTGGTAAATGATGTCATAAAGGCGTGCATAATTGACAAATTTTTCTGTTGAAAGACAGAACTTGAAAGTGGTCTATTCACATGATTATTTTTAATGTCTATGGGAGGTTTTGCAGAGGTATCGTATGGAGCCCTTCCACATTTTCCTGACACCCTGCCCTTTTTTGGAGATACATTTTGGTGCAATTTCCATTGTATATTTATAATGCTCTATCATACTTTAAGATAGATTCGTGATTCACCTATTAATTATATCATTTCAAGTTTTTCCCTTTGGACATGTTGGACATGTTGGATGAAATCAACATTTTTTATGGCCAACATTTCATTTAATTTGATAATTCATAAACAATTTTAGGGGTCTAAGTAGTCAGACCATTACAATTATAAAATTTGATACATGTCATTGAAGTGTGCAATTAAATTGCTCCTGATCATGATATTTCACAAGGATTCAATGTCCATTTGTGGTAGTCTAGCTACTAGTTTTTACTGTTCAGTAATAAGTTCCAAGAATCATGCAAATGAAAAGATTGATTGATTGATCACTGTTGATTGATGTTCGCATCAGTGCAAAGGAAAAAAGGCCAATTAGCTCATCATCAGTCTACCAAAACATTAGTTTTGATGTAAATTTTGTGAAAACATGGGAGTTTTCTTTAATTTTTTCTAGTGTGCATTTTCAGGTAATTAACAATTTTATTCATTGAAACAAATGCTTTCCTATAGATGAATATCAAGAGCATGAAAAGTTACCTCTTGTACACCATGGATTTGACGATTTCAGTACTTAAAATTCATTAAGAGTAAATTTCAGTTGTTTCCCTCGAACAACAGTTTATGTCGCAATCCAAATTGTTTAAAGCTTTTTTTTCATTGGATAACAGTTAAACAACAGAAAGCCAAGAAAATTCCATCCATATATACAGTCAAGGATATATAACTCTATAGGGTTATTACAGAAAAATAACATACATTTGTTATTGTGGACTAAAAAATAAAAGAACTGTGATAACATGTGTATGTTACATGTTTCAAAGGGACAATATACATCATTAGTTTTGTTAAAATGTATACAGGTTCTATTGATATTACTATTGTCTTTCTGTATACTTAACTATAGAAAGATATAACAGTTCATAGCTTGCCAATCATGCATAGTACACCTATGTTATTACAGAAAAAATATGCCTATAATAACTAACGGGTGTTATTACAGCTCCTCTGCATCACTCCTAAGCATTTGTTCAGACATTCATCATGCTTAATTACAATGTATTTTAATTTATTGTAAGAAATAATGATCAGAACATGTAATGAGGTTCTGCACAAGCTTCCCAGTAATTCCCAAGTGTCTTATATAACAAGTTAAATGCCTTTAATAACTAAGCCTTGTTATTACTGCTAAGTTTATTCCTTAAAAGCCTTGTCTCATTGATATTCCCTGGTTAATGAAAAATGTATTAATTTAATTCAAAAATTAGATATCAAGGCTATGCATTTAGTTTCTGCGCAAAGTTTCAAGAGTTCCCTAGAGCCTACTAAAAATCAAAATATTTATGATTTATTTTACAAATAACAAACATATGTTATTACAGATTTAGAAAATTTAAGGATTAAAGAGTAGACAACTCATGAAAGTATCTGTAATAACACATGCAAGTTATTTTCTGTAATAACCCTATAGAGTTATATCCCTGACTGATATATATATTTTTTTAACACAATTAAAAAACTGTTTACGCCAAAACATTGACTGAAATAAAGAAGAAGAATGAAAATAGGTTAAAAGGCTATTTTATGATGTTTTAATAAGAAAAATCTGGAAAAGGAATGAAAGGGTTTTATTGGTCACCATATGTTGTTGAAGGTCTTAGAGCGTGTTACAATGTAGTGGTAATGCTCAAATCGATGCTATTACAATTTATGCCCTTTTATGGAGCATATTAATTCTAAGGGTCTACAGTACCATTCAAACAGACCAGCTCTCCCACACCCTACACTGAGGAAAATTTTGAAGTCACTCCGAGAAACTCTGATATTCCTCCCAAAATGTTGGGAGGAATTTAAGAGTAATTTCTCCCAAAATCACGTAAATGTTAATTGTGATAGCCAGCTCACTCCCAACACCGAGGAATTACTTGCCCTAATCCAACTTTAATCTATGCCGGCACACGACTGATAGGGTACATTGTAATTGGATTACCTGATGTAATAAACAATTATATTTCCGGTTTACTGTGCCAGTTTAAGTGTCAAACAAGTGTTTAATTTTAAACGCCTTTTTATATTGGTTAAGTTTAATTTTTGTGTTAAAGATAAGTTAAAATATTTTCGTATTTCTTGCTTGCGAATCTAAAAATATCTTTACCTAAATGGACTTGCTTGTTTAAAAAAAAACGGACATTACTGAAAAAGGTTTATAAAATTTTGTGGAAAATGTGAAAAAAACGCGAAATTCTACTTCAAAGCTGAATAAATGTGAGCATTTTAAAGAAAATTACGTGTCTCAAAGTTTTATATACAAGCATGACAAGTAAAAAAGAAAATATTATTCACCATTTGTTATGCTTAATAAGTCTATGGCATTTTCTTTTTAAGAATCGATTATCTAATTGCTTGAAACAAATAAAAGATTTAAAAGCAAAATGTTGTTGTTAATTCTTTCAATTGCATTAAAGTTTTATAAAAAAACTATACTTGATTTTGACCTTGTTTTTTTCATCCGTAAATTAATATTTTATTTACGAAAAGGGACATACTTGTGTAAAAATAAACGGAAACTACCGCTGATTAAATGTGAGCAGTTTAAAGAAAATTATGTGTCTCAAAGTTTTGTATATGCAAGTAAAAAAGAAAATATTATTCACCATTCGTTATGCTTAATAAGTCTACGGCATTTTCTTTTTACGATTTGTTGGCATTACTTTAGGATAATAATACATTTCGGCTACAACAGGAATACTTCCATAGCTGCATTAACTCGTCTTTGCATAATATTTATTTATGCACAATGAATGTAAACTTGTGTGTTGTATTTTGGACAGTCATCTTTAAAGATTTTAAAAGAAATTAATTTGCCGTGGGAAGACAATTCCACGATACACATCTCAGTGATCAACAGTGTGTGGTTGAACTTGAACTTGACTTCGCTCACAATATTAAATGCTATAAATAGCTGACATCAATTTTATCCACAGCACAAGATTTTTATATGGCGGGAAAATTCATTCAGGTTTTTAAAGTTGCTTTGTATTAATGATTGACATTTTTGTGCGTTAGTATTGAGGCTCTAGAAGGTCCTTTTACAATTGATTAACAGGAATCTAAAATATAATCCTTTTCCGAATAAACGAACACATCTTCTTTAACTATTTTATTTTTTATGTTTTATCAGTCAAAACAGGACGTAGACCGGAACATTAGTTATACGTCCATGGTCAACAATATAAATTTATTGTAGATGAAAACCTGTGCATGTCGTTAAGTTGGGCGTTGGTAGAGATCCTCTGTGAAAATGTGTAGATCGTTAAAATCCTGTCCACTTATTTTTTCACATATTTTTTTCTTGTAGCATCTGGGTACACGATATAATTTCATTTTAATATTTTTCATATATATATTTGATTTTTTACTATAGTAATTGTTGAAATAATTCATTTTTTTCATTTCGCCAAGGACTTTTAACGAGCAGTAAATTACGGATTGCGCTCATCCAATTTTATTTTAAATAATTAAAGATCAATAACAGAGATAAACGCATGATTTTTTTCCATATAATTAATGAAGTTGTGAATGTTGTGTTGTGCCTGGGCGGGGAATTTCTCTCAGTGTTTTGTTTTTATGAATAAAGGGCATGCATACAAAACTTATTCCCTTTGTTCAACAGAGTTGTCACTTAACAGTTTCTTTTCGGAATTCAAATAATTCAAGTCGGTCATGTACCGAGGTAGTGAAACATAATATTTTTACATTGCAAAATAAATATGCACTGGAAATTGCTTACTGAGTAAGTCATAAAAGATTCTAATTGTGGTAAAATCGTCTTTGTTGAAAGAACACAAAGTATGACCTGACCGAACTATAATAGAAATACAAAATAAGTATTTTCTTCATATTTTTATTCGTTTGTACGTTTTATTTCAAATGACAATGACATGGGGCAAAAACATATAAGAATAATTATCTTATGCTGAATGATAATGTCACATCTTTATCTTTCAAAGAAAGGAAAACATTTGTTAAAATTTTAATACCATGTTTTTAAAGCACACAGGTGCAATCAAGATCGATTAGATGTACATGGGTAAATAATCTGGCTAATCTGATTATGTTGTCACATGTCGTTATTTTTAGAACATCCGATGGGCAATAAACCATTTTTTATTAACAGCCACGCGGTGTTGGGAGAGAATCTTTGGAGGGGTTCATTCAACCTATGCCATCATTTTGAAATTTAGGTATAAAATTTTATGAAAAAATGTTGGCATAGGTTGAATAAAATATAACAGATTAAGTGTTATAAAAACAAAAATTAATTAAGGGTCTATCAATTTACAACCAGTTTAAAATTGGCGTTTAAGTGTACCCAAAACTATTTTTGTTACTTGTATTAGTCAAAATGAAGGCAACTCTATGTGTTGCTGATCTCTTTTGTATTAGAAATTAACATAATAAAACAATTGATGGTTGGAGATTGCTTAATGTCCAGTGGCAAATATTTCATGCATGTTCAGGATATACCAGTATCATGTGAATATAATACAATATATGATTAAAATATTTTATGATATTTTTCTAAAAGTAGAATCACATCAAATGCATGGAAACTATTTGAAATCTGCTTCACATTGAAAAGTGTATTTTTTCATAGTTCAGTATTTATGAAATAATTGTGTTTTTGTATATATTTGTGTTACTTCTTATTGTAATATAGTGCTTTATTCTACATTTCCATGTATTCAATTACACGAAAACACATATTTCGTAAATATTGACATCAGAATCAAATACAATTTTACCATGATCCCTATTACACCATACCAGAAACATATATATATATATATATATATATATATATATATATATATATATATATACACATATAAAAATATATCTGATAATACTGTAAGACACTTGAGATCATCCCCAGTTTATGTTGAGTTTTGCGTTGCTCAGTCTTAAGTTTGCTATGTTCATGATGTTAATTGTATTTTGTATACTGTTGTTTGTCTTTTGGTCTTTTTTCTTTTTTTTTCGTCATGGCGTTGTCAGTTTATTTTCGACTTATGAGTTAGAATGTCCCTTTGGTATCTTTCGCCTCTCTTTTTGAATAGTCTGATAAATGGATGTAGCATTCGTTACGAATATCATATATTCTAGAAAGGACATGTCTGGCCTTTCCAAATCTGAATTTTATTGTTTATACATATTATGTAAATTAATATAATTATGCCGCTACTCATATGTGCTTAGCAAATTGTTATTCTCTGTGTATAGATTTCTATTCTTTTATAAAATATTGTATGATTAAATGGGGAATTATGTTTCTAAGACATAGATATCATACTGAATTAAAGAGCTCTGTTAAAATAAGGGAAAGCCCATTTTTTATATATGGTTACCAAAAATAATAAAGCACCTTTTCAAAATAAAATATAAATTTAGATACATCAGATTTAATACACGTTTTAGCTTGGTTACTCAGCAACAAGTCATAAGTGAGCAAATCTTGTTTAGCTGTGCTTATCACCCCAAAACTCAGATCAAGTACAAATTTGGGTAGCGTCACTTTTACTGTTCTTCAGTTATGTCCCTTTATAACTTTATAACTTTATGTGATATGGCATAATGCAAGCGGGGGCATCATCTGTGTCCCATGGACACATTCCCCACTTTTTTTTAATTGCATATCTAGAACAAAAAAATTTGGAAGTATTTTACCAAACAAAAGTGTTCTATTGAAATATTTTTATCTTTTTTTTCATATATCATATTCTTACTGCAATATAAACTTTGGAGGAAATTGGGAGTATAATCCGCGGTATGCGGTGTGACTCCGAAAAACATGGAAATCGGAAAAAAACGATCTCGAATCGATCCGTTTAAATGGTACTGTATCTATTATATGGTTTGTGCAACAGTTCAAATTTTAGCTAATGTTTACCCTGCATCAAAGTATAAAAATGCTGAAATTTGAAAAGAGCTGAAGATGTATTATTGTTTATTTTGTAATTTGTTGATCTTGCTAGAAATATTTCACTTTAATTTTTGGTGTCTTTAATTTATAGAAAATGTTTGCCTGTGGTTATGACCAGTTGGAAGATGATGGTTTTAAAGGCTCAGAAAGTGAACATGAATTTGTTGATGACAACCATTGTAGTGAGTCAGATCGGGAAGAAATTGAACAGGCATTGTATGCTCAGATCCATTACTGTCAAGATGATGTGAAGGAAGAAGATGAAAAACACTTCATCTTTCAATGTTCAGAAAATGGAGTATTGAAACAGAGTGAAGCAATGTTAGAGGATGAGAAATTGACAATTAGATCATCAATTAATGACAGTTGTATAACGATATCATCAGGTACAGACAGTTCACCTTCTAAGAGAAAAAAGTCCAAGAAAAAGAGATTATTAACAGACTCGTTTGAAGAATTGAAAAGAAATGCAAAAGGAAAGAAAGAAGAAGTGATTCATATCTATTCCCAAACAGATACAGATGCAATAAGTATAAGTTCTGATAAAGGCATAGAGATTGATAGTTCTGACATTGACCTTGACATTGACAGTGATTGTATGATGTTAGATGAGAGTTGTGATGACATGGGTGACATTGTCCTCAATGTAGATCACAGTCAGAGAACCATGTTAGATAATCTGACAGTCAGGAATATTGGAGAACAAGATGAAGCAGGTAAAAAAAGATTTAAATGTATTCACATGATTTCATGAAATCCATCTACAATGTATACAATTACATGTATCTTGTAAGTTAAAAGTTTGCATATAAATATTAGAGAAAATTAAAGTAAAAAAGATCAACAGTATTAAATAAATAGGTATTTGTCAAAGTGACTCACTCTTAAAGTGGCCTTCTGCTGGTTTTGAAAAGTCAATGTTTATCATGTTGATGGTAAAAAATTCTCCAAAGAATTTCAAGAGCAATCATTGGAATAATCTTATTCACCTACCAAACATACATTGTATGATTCTTGGCCAACAATATTCTTTTTTCAATTTTTAATTAGAATTATGTGTCTTTTTTATTTCTTTTGCTGATACATCTTTGTTTTAAGATTTTCCAAGTTTTATAGATGTCTGAGTAAAAGGTTAAGGAGATGTTTGGGTATAAAGTCAATAAGACAGCTACCTAACAACACAAAAACCAAAAGACATCTAGAGGTAACCATACAGGCTTATACAATATCAAACCTTCCCCTAACCTGGGACAGTGGTGTAACAGTTCTGTTCAACATAAGCAAACTATTAAAATCAGTTGAAAAGGGCTTAACCATGTTAACTCATCAGATCGAAACAAAGCACAAAAAAACTAACAAAACACAAAGTACAGATCTGAGAACACTCTCAGTTACTGAAAGCTAGTTCAAAGCCCATAACAACTAAGACTAAAAAAATTGTTCATTTTAAGATATCAATTAGTCAAAACAGCAACCGGGTGTCACTTTGTCAGAACATACAAGATCAGAATTTTTTTGAAAAAAAAAACATTGGATGTTTTGACTAAATATCAACAAAAAACTGCAAATTTAAGGAAGACAGCTACATGTAATAGTCATTAAAAGAATTGTGGGAAAATATAAATGCAGGGGGCAAATTAGCCTCATTATTTTGATTTACAAATCGATTTTTGAAGAAAAAAATTTATTTTATTATGTTACCACTGTTTATTACTCATGTTACATGATGAATCTTTTTAATGATGTCATTTTTTTTAATTTTCAGACAAATGGACAATAATTGATCAAGACAGATTTGTTGGTAACCCTTTGTTGGGTAGATATTACAAATCATCTTCAGTAAGATGTCATAATTGTAATGAAAAGGGACATTTATCTAAAGTCTGTCCCCAACCTAAGGTAAAGTATGATTTATATTACTGTGGATTCATTTATTTTTCGTGGGTACCAATTTTCGTGGATTGAGGAAAACTTGAATTTTCGTGGATATTTGATTTGGTGGTTTTGACAAAGTCTTCATAAATTCCTATAGAAAATTTGTAATTCGTTTGACATTGGAATTCGTGTTCCCAGGTAACTGCGAAATCCACGAAAATTGGTATCCAATGAATAATAATGAATCCACAGTATGTAGTTGTACAAAGTTAAAACTTTGATTAAGTACAAAATACCTAACGAATTTGACAAGGATACCTTTAATAGACTCATATATTACTTTAATATGAAATTTACATGTAATTTGTATATACATGTACTTATTTTTCTAATTCTTTAATAATAATAAGTGTTTTAAACTTTTCTTAATATGTTCTTTATTTTCTCTGGACTGGTTCTACTTGGTTAAAATTCAATCATCTGGTCATATTTCCTTGTTTTCTGGTTTTACTATATTGTGATCATAGATAACATGTTAACTATGTGATGATGCCTGAGGAAATCTCATATATTTCTAGAAAGAACAGAGTTTGAAGAAACAGATTGTAAAATATGTACTACTTATTTGCAATACCATGTTTCTTTTTTTTGTCTTTTAAGTTTCAAATATTTAAGATTGCCAACAATTCTCCAGAGAAATTTCTTTCTAGATTAATTAATATATTCTTTTTTAATTAGAAAGTTATCATGGTATCACAATATTTGCACATTATCCACCAAGCAAATATCCATTGTATTCATACACAGATACAGTATACTTGGTTTTAAGTTGATTAGAAAATCACTGATACCTATAGCTAGTGCTGCTTCTTTTCTGGAGTGTGTATACACAAATAAAGCATTAAGGAGAGGTCTACAGTATGATTTGATTCCTGAAAGTAAGCCAGTACTGTATAAAAAAATATTCTTTCTAATGCATATGCAAATAAGCGGAAATGGAAAAGAAAGGATATGGTGTATTCATTCATGACACAAAATCCCTACATGTACTTGATAAAATAAAAAGCAAAAGGAACCGTGCTTTTATTGCTGTTTTTCCTTTCAAAGTTATAGTTATATGTAGATCTCAACAAAGAGCAAAAGCACACACCTGACTGCAAGTTCAAAACAGTCCATAGTACCAGTTTGAGTGGATTTCTTTGCTAGATGTTGATAATGCTAATGATATTTTTCACACTATTCATCAATTCTACGATAAAAATTCAAAGTAGGACTGAAGTCTAATTAATTAATAATTGATATGATTGAAGTCAGAGTAAACTTTATAATATTGGAAATTTACATTTCATTTTTGTAGAAAGTAATGGCATGTTATTTATGTGGAGAAGAGGGCCATTCTGGTAGAACCTGTAAAAATCCTATATGTTTTAACTGTAACGTACCAGGCCATATTACAAATGAATGTACGAAATCGAGACGATCTAAATATATAGACTGCCATCGGTGCCAGATGTATGGACATACAGCTTATGTAAGTAAAAAAGCATGCCAAGTTAAGTTTTTGTGTGGCTTTTTAACCATCATGTCTTTTTTTGTGGTAATTTGAATGTTGTATTGCTGAAAAGTAGACTTGAATGATAACTGTTAGCTAAGAATTTGAAGATATCAGTTTTCTCTATAAAATAAATGGCATTAAAAAAGTGTTTCATCATTAACCTTATTATTATACTTTGAATGACCAAGTGATGTCTTTGGAATGTGAATTTCAAACTGATTTCAAATGTTTTCTGGCATTTTGTTAAAAGTCAGAGGAAAAATTATGATGACCTCCCACTGAGGAGAAATACTTTAAATACTGTGAATTCATTATTTTTAGTGGGATCCCAATTTTCATGGATTTCGTGGGTTTGAATAAACCACAAAAAATAAATGTTCAACTAAGTACACATTTTCTATAGACTTATATGAAAACTTTGGCAAAATCACGAAATCAATATCCATGAAAATACATTAGTTCCTGAATCCATGAAAATTGGTACCAATGAAAATAAATGAATAAGGTCATTAAGCAAATGTTCAGGCAGTATGGTTTAAAATATTTCAGCTAGTTAAAAAGGTCCATGCCGGCCCATGGAAATGGTCTTTAACCAGATGAGAGAGCAGAATGGTTAAAAAAAAGTTCTGAGAAGTGGGATACACAAATTTTGAGGAAGAGAAAAAAATAACTGATGTAAATTAATATATTTGATTAAATTGAAAAATTGCATTCATTGACGAAAATCTCACTATGATTGTGATGTTTTTTCTGACAAAGATTTTTATATTGGTTTCATGGCCATGTAAAGTGGGATTCTCACTAAGGCAAGTCCTGGACTCATGATAATCTGTCTGGACTCATCATTTTCAAAACTGGTGAGTCCAAAGATGCATCAAGATTGTAGAATGTTGTACCAACTAAGCACATCTATCCTCATTTTATAACAAGAAATTGAAAATGTTCTAAATTTGTTTGCCCTATTTTGTCATATGGACTGAATTAATAAACTATAGCTATACAATTCATCCTCTCACTATTGTACTCATCATGGCCAAAAATGACAAGTCTCTGGACTTACCGTTTAAAATCAATAGTGAGAACCCTGTAACATTGTGTAAAGTAAATACATACATGTATTATAAATACAATATTGTAATATAATTAAATGAAGCAATATATGAAGAACTATTTTCTATATATATGGCATTTACATTAAGGTTCAGTCTGTGGTTAAAGTATTTTTAAGCAATGATAACTTTGTTAAACCTACATGGAATTTTATGAAATTTGGACAGTAGCATGTTTATGACCACAATACATTATCCATAGCGAAACTTTTGAAAATATTTATTTTTATTTTTCCGTATTTTACTGATAAATGGACTTAGTTTTTTTACAGTTAACAAGTAGATACAGTCTGTGGTTAAAATTTGTTACACATCAATTACTTTATCAAACCTTCATAGATGGAGCTTTATGAAACCTTGGCAGAAGTTTTTTAATGAATAGGTTTTCATTTTTAGTATTTTTCTGATAGATAATCTTTGTTTTTTACAGTTAACATTTACAGACAGTCTTGGATTATGACATGATAAATTTCTAAACCTTCATTGATTGTTATGAAACTTGGACAGAAACTAATCTTCAAGACCATGAAATAGCATCTAAAGAAAAAGTTTAATTTTTTTTTTAAATTCTGTATTTTATTGATAAATAGACTTACTTTTCAAGTCAACATTACACTTTTTCACTGACAGGTGAGACACATGGGTCTGTGGAACCCCTTATGAATTTTTAGACTTTTTGAAAATATTGTGTAATCTGATTGTAATTTCAGGAATGTCCAGAAATTTGGAGACAGTTTCATCTAACGGTAGGTACTCTTTTAAAGGATTTATTCTTAACTTTGACATTTTCAGTCTCACTGAAGCATTTTAATTTCAAGGCTTAAATCTGTTTTACAGCCATCCCGTATTTTTTTTATACGACTGCAAAAAAATTGCGTTCAATATTGCTATCGTTGTCGTCCGAAGACATTTGGTTTCCAGACAATAACTTTAGTATAAGTAAATGAATCTCTATGAAAATTAAGAACAAGTTTCAATAGCACAAAAGAAGGATGGGATTGATTTTGGTGGTTTTAAAGGCAGATTCCATATAAGAAAGTGAAACAACTCCCATAAGCACATTAGGCAAAAATCATAAGCAATGAACTTCTGTTTTTGAATACATGCTTTACTAATAAAGATAAAGACAATTTGACCCAAAAAAAATTATGAGCATCATCCTTTTTAAATAAACGAAGCCTTAAATATTATGTTTCTGACATAAGATTTGACAGACTTTATTGTTTCTGACATAAAATTTGACAGACTTTATTGTTTCTGACATAAGATTTGACAGACTTTATTTTTTCTGACATAAGATTTGACAGACTTTATTATTTCTGACATAAGATTTGACAGACTTTATTTTTTCTGACATAAGATTTGACAGACTTTATTATTTCTGACATAAGATTTGACAGACAAATTGAGTTTCTAACATAAGATTTTGACAGACTTGATTCTGACATAAGATTTTTCATACATAAGATATTTTGACAGACAATATATATTTGTTTTTTTTTGACTGACATTGGAAATCAAATCCTAGTTGAAAGTCATTTTTAAAACTCCTGGAAAATACTGCAGCCTAACATCTTACAAGATTTCACTACAGGTCAAAGAACTTTAACTGTTAGCACATTCAAATGTTTCAGACATAAGAAACAAGTTTGACAGATCTTATGTAGGAAACATATAAGTTAAAACTATTGCTTGAATAAAGTTAAATGAAAGAATCAACATGTGTTTTTTCTTGTGCACAGCATGACTTACAGTTTTAACTGGCATATATTGGAACCTACAATGATTTTGAAAGTTTTTACAGCGATGTTCCTGAAATAAGATTTATTGACAGACACTGAGCTATAAAGCAAGATATTTGAAAGTGAAAAAAAATATATATCACAGATGTTTTTGACTAAAAAAAGTAACAAATTTGGGAACAGGGATGTTTGAATTACCAGACTACACTAGTAAACACCAGTATACAAGTGTCAACATAAAGCATTGCAACACATAAACATTGTGTAAAAAATGGGAGTTAATTCTGTCAAAATTTTTGCATTTTTTCAACTTGTTTTAATCATTTCTACTTTAAACGGAAACAATCATATCCAAAAATTATTTTTATAACTTCTTCTAACATCATTATTCCTCAAAACATTCACAGATTATCTTTAAAATAACAGTAATTATTATTTTTATTTATTTATTCATTTTGACAGACATTTCAATTTCTTATATGGAATCTGCCCTATGGTCCCAACTGTTTAAGAATTAGGGGTCCAAAAGGGGCCAAAAAAGGCATTTTTCTGGTTTCCGGACAATAAATTGTGTATAAGTGTATGGATCTCTATGAAATTGTACCTAAAGGTTCCATACCACAGAGGAAAAGTTGGGATTGACTTTGGGGGTTATGGCTCAAACCGTTCAGGAATTAGGGGCAAAAAAAGGAGGGAAAAACAAGGTTTTTCTGGTTAATGGACATTTACTTAAGTATTAGTCTATGGATCTCTATGAAATTGAAACACAAGGTTCCATACCACAAAGGGAAGGTTGGGTTTGACTTTGGGGGTTATGGCTCAAACCGTTCAGGAATTAGGGGCAAAAAGGGAGGGGGACAAGATTTTTCTGGTTTCCGGACAAATACTTAAGTATTAGTCAATGGATCTCTATGAAATTGTACCACAAGGTTCCATACCTTACACAGAAGGTTTGGGGCCAATTTTGTGGGTTGTGGCTTTAATCGTTAAGAAACTAGAGGCCAAATAGGGGCCAAAAACAAGACTTTTCTAATACTAGCTAAGCTGGTTCTAACATAAATTATTTCTGATCTATATAAAGATACAACAAATACTGATATGGCAGAGATACACACCAAACAGGGTGTGTAAATTATTATGTTTAGTTTGTTAACAGATTTACTAAGTATTGCACAACAGCATTGAGGTCCAAAGGGTTCAAATTTAGACTTTGTTTGATTTCATCAAAAACTGAATTCTTGTGGTTCTATGATATGCTGAATCTAACTATGAATTCAGATTTTTAATTTTGGCCATATTTATTCTGTGTCAGAAATCTATAATGTGTCAAAAATTTAATCACTATCCAAATTTACAGCTGTATCAAGCTTGAATATTGTTTCCATACTTGTTCAACCTCTGCGGTCGTATCCAGCTGATCCAGGCGGAGTGCATTTTTATTTTATAATAATTATAGAATATCTGAAAATTTGGTCTTTATGAGGGAAAGTCTACAATAACTTAAAGCTCAATGCTCAGCTTTTCCATTCTATTTTGTTTTCTAACTTGCTCATCTTATGGTACGAAATGAGAATTCTAGAACATTATCCAAGTTATGAGTATGTAAACAGTATTGTTGCTCATATGATGGACAATGTAAATCAGATTGTAGCACCACTCTTACTAGACACTCCAGCTCCTAATCAAGATTGACCATTTAGCTCTGATTTGGTTAGAACTTTGGTTTTTAACTTAATTTTTCCTCTTACCATGGCAGAGGTTTTTTTACCCCTGGCTTAAAAAGGGTTTGGGTATGGGGGTATATAATGATGCACATGTCCTTACATCTGTTTTCCTGATACATGTATTAATTTAAAAAGTATTCTCCTTGGTTACCTCAGAAAGGTTGATTCGCAGGTGATAATGAAAGTAGAGTTTTAAAAAATGGGTTGAAATTTGAACTCAGTTTTATGAAACATAAAATACAGGTCAAGTTTGATTCTGAATTTTGTTATTACATTGGTTGCAGTGAATTAGTGTGATTTTACAGTGAAGTAAGAACAGATAATTTCTCATGTGAAATAAACCTGATAATTTCACTTCTCTGACGTCATACAACAATGGGTGTTGTCGAGGACGTTGCATCAAAACATTTAAGGTTGTGCAGAAAAAAGATATAGTTCCTTTCCATTTGAAAGTCCGTGGTCAATGTATTAAAAGAATAACTAATCAAAGAAATGAAATATAGAAAAATTTTCAACTTGTGACCAAAACAACACTGATAATTGACGCATGCACTACTGCATTCCTGAATTAATGTGTTCTTCTCTCACATGTTGAATATTTTTCTATATTTGAATCCTTGGATTAGGTATTCAATAAATATCTATGTTCTGTTCTTGTGCAACTATTCCTATACCTTCAATTAGGAAGAGAGGAGGCCACCTCCCCTTAAAAAAATGTAATGTTAAGGGAAAATATTTCATAGTGCCACACATGTCAAAAGCCATTTGTGTTTGATGGTGAAGAGCTGATTTACTTTAATATTTTATTGTATACTTTATCAGCATACAAAATGAAACATAATCTATTTCATGAAACAAAAGAGGTCAAAGGTCACCATTGGAGAGTAAGTCAACATAAAGTTTCCATATAAATCAGTTCAGTAAATAACAAATTTCCAATGGCAGCAGACCTCAGTAGAAATGGAGGCTGAGATGTATAAATAGTCAGATATTTACAGAGGAATTTTGCCTTATGGTATTACCGGGTTAGAAATCTGACAAAATGTCCTTAGTTGTAAACTAAATTTTTACCCAGAACAACTTGTTGTTACATTATTAGATAAATTGTATATTTTTATTTCAATTTCTTTTTATTTGGTTTTTGAAAAGGGATAATGTTTTTTAATGATAGCATGGCAAAACATGGGAGGTAATTACAATTTTGTTTCTGTACCTACAATGTGATTCAGAATGATAATAAGAGAAAAAGATGTTAACCACATGTGATTATTCATACTAATTAGATAAAAGGAGAGGTGCATAGTATAAACACACATCTAATCAGAAGATTTAAATTTGTGATCCATTGAAACATTCGTTACTACCCATTTAAATATTACCTCCCTGAAATGACACCCATTGATATACTTGACATAACATGACAAAATGCTTGTTTGTGTATATAGGTAAAGAACCATTAATTTGGGTCCTGTCAGAAAGGACATATTAAAATGTAGTACATATTAAAAACAAAATAGTTCCTATGCATAGTTGTAACTTTTAAAATATGTAAAATATTTGGATAATGCTGGTAGAAATGAAAGAGGGACTGGGGATAATTTTAGCACCTTTTGAAGTTTATTTTAATTATGAAAATGAAATTAGGGGGGAAGGGGAAAGGGGGGGGGGGGGGCATATTTTGTCTGTTTCTAAATCAGATGAACCTGATTTTGTAATTCTAACTACCTGGAACCATTGCTATCCAACATGTAATTTTAGGTACATTGACTTTATAACTTTATAAGCCAATGTTATATTTATCTTTTTAATACTGGTTAATGAAATTATAACAGTGTGTACTGGCTGGTTATTTTGACACACCTACATAGCTATTGAATATGCATGACTTGTTAGATAAGAACAGCACATGTAGCCAAAACTGGAGTAAAACACAGATCTATTACCAGGATAAGGTATTATTTAGATATGGAATGATTGTCATATTTATTTAACTTATAACAAATAGCTGTGATTGTTCGAAATTTCAGAATTTAACATAGGAAGTAATAGGGCCATGAATTAGTTAGTGGATATATTACTATACCTTCTGCACCCCATCACATTTTGCATCATTTTTGTGATCTAAAAATCATATGACTTTAAGGGAAAATGTATTTATATGTAAAGAATACTACCACACTTTTTCAAGTAATATTATATAAAGGTTGATTACTTTTATAGTTTATTCAGATTTTGATCTTTTCCCTCATTTTAGTAAAATATTTAGAAGCAAACAAAGTAATTCATTTTATGAAACAAAAGAGGTCAAAGTTCACCATTGGAGAGTAAGTCAACATAAAGTTTCCATGTAAATCAGTTCAGTGAATATCAAGTTTCCAGTGGCAGCAGACCTCAGTAGATACAGAGGCTGAGATGTATAAATAGTCAGATATTTACAGAGGAATTTTGCCTTACGGTATTACCTAGTTAGAAAACTGGCATATTGACCTTTGCTCTCGTCAATAGTTTACCCAAAAAATCAATGTTGGAAAGATAATTAGATAATTTTGATATTTTTTATTTCAATTTTATTTCATATCGTTATTGAAAAGTGATGTTGACGTTTAATGATAACATGACAAAACATGGGAGGTAATTACATGTTTGTTACTATACTCATGATGTGATTAGGAATGGATCAAAAGGGAAAGTATAGATCAGCTTAGAATTAATAGAGAAAAAGATGTTAGCCACATGTCATCATTCAAATGAATTAGATATAAGGAAACTGCACAGTATTTACACACTTCTAATCAGAAAATTAAAATTTATGACCCATTGAAATATCCATTACTACTAATTTACATACAAACTCCCTGAAATGGCACCCTATTAAAAAATTTGGGGAACAGGACGTTTGCGCTTTTTTACCTGTTACATGATAGGACATTTGCGCTCCAAACACTATGGACATTTGTGCTTTAAATTTTGATACACCTGTATTAGATTGACCAGACATTTGCACTTTTTATCTATAGTCGTCTACCTGTAATTTTAATGAGTTGTAATCATTATGTAAATAAATTCAACTTACATTTGTGGTTAGTTAGTTCACATTGACATAGAGTTTAAAGTTATAGACTAGTAAAGAAAAAAAATGTATATGTCAATCCTACGGGTCCAAAGCCCGGAATAAATAGGAGGGAAGTCATACTCATTAGAAGTGCAAATTTCCTTTTTTTAAAAAGCACATATGACCTATAAATTGAAGCTCAAATGTCCATTGAAAAAACGCAAATGTCCTATAAAATAGCGCAAACGTCCTGCGCTAAAAATATTGGAAATTCCATCAGCATGTTTGTGTATGGGTATGGACCCAATAAATTTGGACTCTGTTAGAAGTCTGAATAACATTTTAAAAAATAGTAACTATTTAAAACAAAAAAGTTCCTATGCATAGCTGTTAACATTTTGTGTAATGTTTCAAAGGAAAGCTTAAAGGCTGGGATCATCATTATAGAACCCATTGGCAACGAATGTTTATTTTAGATAATAGAAAAAAATTAAGAAATTGAAATAGGAGAGCATATTTCGTCTGTCTGTTTCTCAGATCAGATACACCTGGTTTAGTACTTATAAAATACCAGGAACCAGTGTCACCTTAAATGCAATTAAAGTTATGTTAACTTTTCAGCTGAAGCCAGGATAATTCATTGCATGGACATGAAATGACTGTCTGAATATTTGAAATTGCAGAATTTAACATAGAAAGCAATTGGGACATGCATCGGTGGTTTTATTCCTATACCCTCAGCCCCCTCCCCCTTTTTGTCATTTAGAAATCATATTACATCAAGGGAAAATGTATTAATACATTTAATATAGAATACTAACACACTTTGTCAAACAAAAAGTGTTTGAGTTTGAAGTTAAAAGTTGATTTACATTATTTAGTTATTGTATGGTAAAATAGATAATGATAAATAGCTCTTTGATCTTTTCCTATATCTGCATGTATAAGTTTAAGTAAAATAATCACCCACATACAGAATAATGCCCACTCATTTTATTTTCTGAAGCAAAAGAGGTCAAAGTTCACCATTGGAGAGTAAGTCAACTTAAAGTTTCCATATAAATCAGTTCAGTAAATAACAAGTTTCCAATGGCAGCAGACCTCAGTAGATACAGAGGCTGAGATGTATAAATAGTCAGATATTTACAGAGGAATTTTGCCAAATGGTTTTTTTCCTGTTTAGAAAACTGGCATATTGACCTTTGCTTTCATCAATATTTTACCCAAAATATTCAATGTTTGAAAGATAATTAGATATGTATGATGTTTTTCGTTTCTTTTTCTCTTTATTGTGTAATTAAAAAGTGATGTGGATGTTTAATGATAACATGACAAAACATGGGAGGTAATTACATGTTTGTTTCTATACTCATGATGTGATCTATGCTAAGTTAAGCAATGGAATGTTATGAAGATATGCTTTAAATGAGAGATTGTCTAGTGGTATATTTAATTTGAATAAGAATGTTTTTTTTATCTCAATACTTTTGATATAATCTAACATGCCCTTGGACAGATAAAATATGTGCTTGGGCGGGGGACATTGGAACACTGTTCTTTTGTATTTTTTTTAATCATATTTGTGATTTAACTGATTTTACAATTTAAGTTGTGATTTTACTGATTTCAGACTGTTCATGGTCCATTGATAAGAGGTAAAGATAATGAAAACCCATTGAAACATTGTCCAAATTGTGGAGGGGATGACCATTTTGATCATGTAAGTTTATCTAAAGTTTGATTATCATTGTGCATGCTGTGTTATCATTGTTATGATTGTTATCCAAAGGATATGCATTTTACTTACTTATTGAGCATCTAAAAAATTTATATGGGCAAATGGTTGGTTTAAACAATATTTTTTTTTTTTTCAATAAATCAAATCATGATCTATATAAGATAATGCATTATACAATAGAATCAAGACACAAGCAACATTGCTTATTTTAATCTGTCTAAAAAAAATGATGTCATATAACATGATGAATACTTGGAGCATGCTCTGTCAATTTGAATAAAGAAAGAATAGTAAATACAAAATATGTTATAATATTGTAGTTTCAGAAGAAAGGAAATGTGAGAAAAAAAAGTGAATGCAATAAACTAAATGAAATGCAAGGAAGACATATGAATGAAGCTATCATATTATGGTGTGAACCTTTTGCTTTTCGATATATATTTCTGTACCAATACAAAAAGAGTACTTTTTTCTCCATCAGTAAAAAAATCTGACCCAAAAAGCAAAATATTTACATCAATACACTGCGGAAAATCTGCATGAAAATTCATAAGCACTTTGAGTATGTTAATATAAATAGTTCAATAGGTAATTTACTTTATTAAATCTGGAAGAGGTTACAGTTATGCCTCTGGATGGTCTAACTTTGTATTCATATCTATATATATGAGAACTAAAAAAAGGAGACCAAGTGTTTCTACTTTCTTTTACATGGTACACTAAATATAGCTCTGTTTGCTGTAAAAGGATACATTAATGATCAAGTATAATATTTCATTATTTTCCATAATTAAGGCTTTTTTATTTTTTTTTATCTTTCATTTATTTTATGTTAACTTCCAGGGTTACTTTTATTAACCTCCAGAGTAGGTACTACAGAAATTCTATAATTATTAATTTATTGTGGGGCAAGGATCCGGATATTTTCCCAAGTCATTTCGGTCATTTTTTTTTGTGATGTAATAATATCGTGATGCACAATAATGCATTTTTCTGAGGGTGACAAGTCTTGCACATGGACAAGTAAAGTCCTTTTTTGTGAAGTATTGGGTCAAACAAGTGTAACTGTACCCTGATCTGACAGTAACAGTGATGTCTCTGAGTTAGAAACTACACGAGGAGACGTTTTGTTGTTGTGTATTGCATCACTGAGGTCGTATGCATAACCCTTTAAATTTGCATAAATTAAAAGAGGAATAATTACGGCATGTTTCATCATTTTGAAATAAAGTTATGTAAACCAATTAATAAACTGTGTTGAGTTTCTTATTGCATGTACAAGATATCGTTTGTATTGTTCAAATTGCTGCTGTTTGGATGAGTGTAAGTGATTACCTAATACACAACAAGATAATGTGTATTCACCTGGTTTACGATAAGAGGATCAAAAAGGGGAAACTATGATTCAACTTTTCTTTGAATAAATAACTCAAGTCTGGTATAGTGATAACAATTGAATTTAATAATAAAATTCATGATTTTAAATAAATAAATAATTTATCTGAACAGAAGTTTGTACACAATTACAACAGTTCAATGAAAAACAATTGCATTGTAATACAGTCCAGAGAGAATGTATGGCTTCACTTGGGTAAAAATCGGAAGTTTAGCCAGGAAAACAAAAGAAAGGATAACGCCCATTACATTCTGTGAGTAAGATGGTTTCAAAAAATCGGAAGTGCAAAAAAAAACAAAAAGAAATCGAGATTGTTCATTCGCTGAGTATATTTCTTAAATAGGCTGTATGGCTTCAAATCTAAATTACGTTATTTAGTTTTAATTCCTTTTTTAAACATTTTTTTTTAATTCTGCATTCCTATAAATTATACGCTTTACCACTTTTGTAAATCTATTAATATCTTTATCTGCCATTTCCTACCGAAAAGTTAACAGTAAAATCGATCTTTCAAATAAGATCATCAATTAACCCATGTTGATCCCCATTTTCCATGCGCAAACTCAGTAAACATAAATCTATATTTAACAAACGTTGACCAAATCAGCTGATCGATTATAAATGGATTATATGTTTTATTTGGATAAAAATGGACAGATTCTCGAGTCAACAGTGTTATTTGACTTCTTTAATGAATAAAATAATATCTTTTTGGGAAAATCTAGGTCAGAATGGTTAAAACGTTAAATTTGATGCACAGCAAATCGCCATATTGTTTTTATTGCTTAACAGGTGTTTACAGGTGAGATTTGTGTACATGGCCTTTATGGCATTAATCAAGACAATAACGACACCCAAGCCGAATTCAAACTTCCTGGACATTGATTACTATCCTCAAGTGGTGATAATTACTATGTAAACAAACCTAGTGGCTTGAACCCAGACTTACCCCACGCTGTGACTCGACAGAGTCCTGTACATTGTTTTCACTTACATTATAGAATAAACAACAGACTAATGATAAATATTATTAAATCACTAACACAAATCAATAAAATTTTTATTTTGTCTCAAACAAATCTATTTTTCTTGATGACCTGAAAACAAAAATAAGTTCAAAATGGCGACCGATAAAACCCTGATCTCAATGAAATGACCGAAATTATTTCTGTAAAAAAAAAAAAAAAGACCTAAATCCCAATAAATCATTTCGGTCTTTTCAGTTTCCAAATCGGTCATGTCTGGCATATATGACCGTTTCCGGACCCTTGTTGTGGGGTATCAATTTTAGTAGATTTTGTGGTTACCTCCAACCACAAAATGTATTACTCATCAAAATGGATAATTTTCATTGGCTTCTAATGTGATTTAACATAAAACTACGAATTTAAAACCCTAAGAAACAATGTATTCATAAACCAGGAAAACTTAAACTTACAAGGAAAATTACTTCCATAGTATATGGAATTCTGAATAATGCTTGAACATGAAAACATAATATATACAGTAAAACCTTTGGGACCAGAGAAAAATGAACTAGTAAGAGGGATGCCATTTGAATTAAAGTTCAAAATGCATTGATATTACTACAGCAGAAAAGGAAGATGGTGACCTGAAAACTGGTTTCTGATTATTGCCAATGACCTTTATAGCTGGTTTGACTGTACTTTAAGAGTTTTTGTTCAGACATGATTTTGAATATCCAAGTCTTTTGCCTGAATAGGCAATGTTGTGTCTTATTAGAAAGCAAAACAAGCAAAAAAAATATATGAAGTTATTTATTATATTATACTGCTTTACATTTAACAACCTTTATTACTGTAAAAACAAAAAGTTTCCAGACCTTAAACTTTTACTGACTTCAACTTCATATCACATTGCTGTTTCTAAACACTATGATTACAATTTTATTATCATAAAGATCTTTTTTCAATAGGATTGTGAGGAAGAAAGAATGGACAGACATACTTTAGCAGCTTGTACATTTATATCCCAATACAGAAAGTCTGATGTCAGAGTAGCCAAAAGACAAAAAGGTAAAAGCTAATGAATCGTTCAAAATGTCAATGTTAGAAAACTGATTTGGACAACTTATAACGGAAAGGATTACTGTGAATTCATTTATTTTTGTGGGTTCATATATTCCATGGATTCAGGAAAACTTGCATTTTAGTGGATATTTGATTTCGTGGTTTTGAAAAATTCTGCTACAAGCTTATAGAAAATTTGTAATTCGTTTTTAGCTCACCGTGGCTCAAAGGGCCCCATGTGAGCTTATGTCATCACTTGGTGTCCGTCGTCGTCCGTCATCTGTCGTCGTCGTCTGTCGTCGTAAACTATTAAAAAAATCTTCTCCTCTGAAACTACTGGGCCAAATACCTTCAAACTTTAACTAAATGTTCCTTAGGGTATCTAGTTTATAAATTGTATCCGAAGTTTTGATCTATCGACAAACATGGCCGCCACGTAAACTTGTTCAATTGGTCAAGATCTATCAGCTCTGAAATTTGCAGACGAATCGAACAACCCATTGTTGGGTTGCTGCCATCGAATTGGTAGTTTTAACAAAATTTTGCAGTTTTTTGTTATTATTTTGAATATTATTATAGATATATATAAACTGTAAGCAGCAATAATGTTCAGCAAAGTAAGATCTACAAAAAAGTTAATATGACCATAATTGTCAATAGACCCCTTAAGGAGTTATTGCCCTTTAAAGACTATTTTACACAATTTGTTCATCAAGTTTGCTAACATGTAAAAATCTTCTCCTCCGAAATACAGGTGAGCGATTTAGGCTCTTGAGAGCCTCTTGTTTAAATTCATGGGTCACCTGTTCTTACAAAATCCACAAAAATTGGTGTCAAAGGAATCATAGTGAATCCACAGAACATAATTTGTTCTTTTATCAATAAACATCAATTCTGGCGTGTCAATTTGTTTGTCATTACAGAGCTACAAATTTAAACTCTCAGATTTAAAAAAAAATTCACATGTACGCTCACTTGGGTATGCTTGGATTGATTAACTGATAACTCACAATATTGAAAAATTTGTCATTCAAGAGTTATGGGATTTAGAACAGTCATATATAAGGCAATATTTATACTCTGAAACATATCCTCATGTTTTATTTTCTACAGAGCCATTTTGATAATTTCTGATTCGATGCCTTCTCATTTCATTTTGTTATCGCAACAATTTCAATATTCATAAGACAGGCCTATCATGTGCTCTCGGGGCCTCAGTGGCAGAGTGGTCTAAGTAGTTACTACTGTAATCACTAGCCAGTCAACACTGAGGTTGTGAGTTCGAACCCCGCTCGTGCGGGTGCACTCGACTCCAATCTTAATTGACTAGGATTGTCAGTTTTCCTATCGAAGGTCGGTGGTTTTCTCCAGGCACTCCGGCTTCCTCCACCAATAGAAACTGGCCGCCACAAAAAAGCCCAAAAGCGGTGCTTAAAAGTGGCGTTAAAACACCAAAAAATCAAAAAAATCATTTGCTCTTGGCACAGATGTTTATTTCTTTTCAATTTCTGAAATAATTAAAGAGTTATCTTTTCTTATCATATTTCAAGTTTTGTTTCTCATAATATAATTTTGCTTCTCATTGCATAATCTTTACAACAACAAAAAATAAACAATTCGGTAAACTTATTAATTTGAAAATGAACTCAGTGGCATATTCTTTTATCTAGATTTTTAGCAATAAAGCTAAGTTTGACTAAATAAACACCATTCTATCAATGGATAATTTAAAATATGTCATTGAAAAGGGTTCTGGTTATGAGGTTGATTCTTTTTTTTTTTTATCAGAAATGCAAGAAGAGGATACAAGCATTCCAAAGAAAATTAGGAAAAGAGACCACGCATATAGTACAAACAGTTGTGATTTCAAAATAACAAAAAACTATGAGGAAGACTTTGATAGAAGTAGTTACATTGAAACTGATGACTATAGATATAGTAAGAAAAAGAAAAAGAAAACTACATGGACATTTAAGGAGAAAAAACCTGACAATTTCCGTAAAATAATGGACATGGATTTGGATTCATATACTTTTGAGAAGAACACCAAGAAACCTATAAAGAACAGGAATAGTAGGGTTAAATCTGATAAAAATAAACTTGATAAAAGGAAGGAGAAGGAAAGAAAGAAAAAGAATAAAAAGAGATTGAGTTTGGAGGAAGAATATTATGGTCCCCTACCCAAGAAAAAGAGAAGTATGTACAGAAATATTACAACAAATATTTTTTTTGCATGATTTTAAAGAAGATCTAGAAACGTACCATTGATATTTAATGTAAGCATTTGCATCACATTTATGTATCTCAATTACATAACTTTTAAATCATATTCAGCTGAATTTGATCGATTGTCAAGTTTTTATATGGCCACAAACAATTTACTTTCGTATAATGCTATCACGTTGTCGTCATTGTCCAAAGACATTTGGTTTCCGGACAATAACTTTAGATTAAGTGTATGGATCTCTATGAAATTTAATCAAAAGGTTCAATACCACAAATGGAAGGTTGGGATTGTTTTTTAGGGTGATGGTCCCAAGCGTTTAGGAATTAGGGGCCAAGAAGGGGCCCAAAACAAGCATTTTTCTAGTTTCAGGACAATAACTTGTGTATAAGTATTTTGATTGCTCTGAAATTGTACCACAAGTAGAAGGTTGGTTCAGGAATTAGGGGCCAAAACAAGCAATTTTATATGACCGTAAAAAAATTTTTGCGTCGTATAATGCTATCATGTCGTTGTCTGCGTCGTCCGAAGACGCAATTAGTTCCGGACAATAACTTTAGTTTAAGTGAATGGATCTCTATAAATTTTACCAGAAGGTTCAATACCACTAAATGAAGGTTGGGATTAGTTTTGGGGGTTATGGTACCAACAGTTAAGGAATTAGGGGCTAAAAATAAGCATTTTTGTAACTTCCAGACAGTAACTTGTGTGTTAGTGTATGGATCTCTCTGACATTGTACCACAAGGTTCCATATCACAAAGGGAATGCTGGGATTGATTATGGGGGTAATTGCCTCAAAATTTTAGGAATTAGGGGCCAAAAAAGGGGCAAAAAACAAGCATTTTTCTAGTTTCATGACAATAACTTGTGTGTAAGTGTATGGATCTTTATGAAATTGTACTACAAGGTTCCATATCACAAAGGGAAAGCTGGAATTGAGTTTTGGGGTAATTGCCAAAAATGTTTAGGAATAAGGGGCCAAAAATAAGCATTTTATTAGTTTTTCCAGACAATAACTTGTGTTCAAGTGTATGGATCTCTCTGAAATTGTACTGCAAGGTACCATATCACTAAGGGAAGGCTGGGATTGATTTTGGGGGTAATTGCCTCAAAATTTTAGAAATTGGGGGCCAAAAAGGGGCAAAAAACAAGCATTTTTCTAGTTTCAGGACAATAACTTGTATTTAAGTGTATGGATCTTTATTAAATTGTACTATAAGGTTCCATATCACAAAGGGAAAGCTGGGCTTGAGTTTGGGGGTAATTGCCCTAAACATTTAGGAATTTTGGGCCAAAAAGGGGCCAAAAAACAAGCATTTTTCTAGTTTCCAGACAATAACTTGTGTTCAAGTGTATGGATCACTCTGAAATTGTACTGCAAGGTACCATACCACAAAGGGAAGGCTGGGATTGAGTTTGGGGGTGATGAATCATAAGGGGGTTCAAAAAATTTGGGGGGGGATTTTATTTTCCTTTTTTTTTTCTTTAAAATTTTCCATTTTAAGTTGGTTAATTCTGATTTATATATAAAAGCAAATAATAATGATATGGTTTGAATAGGTAAATTAAAAATGTAAGTTCTTAGACCACATTCATTCTGTGTCAGAAACCTATGCTGTGTCAAATATTTAATCACAATCCAAATTCAGAGCTGTATCAAGCTTGAATGTTGTGTCCATACTTGCCCCAACTGTTCACGGTTCGACCTCTGCGGTCGTATGAAGCTGCGCCCAGCGGAGCATTTTATCTAGTTTTCAGACAATAACTTGTGTTTAACTGTATGGATGTCTCTTAAATTGTACCACATTTTACAAAAAGAAAATTTCTTCAAATATTTTTTTTGTTGGAAAGGGGGGGTCAATTTTTTTCCCTCAAGATTTAAGCAATTATCAATTTTCCCTAAAAAAAATTGGGGGTCACAATTTATTTTTCTGATTCTTTGTATATAGTCTGAAAACAGATTTACTAAGTAATGCGCAACAGCACAGTGTATTGCACAACAGCAAAAAATCTTCAATTGAATATAAATTCAAATCATATAACCAATTTCAAGTTCTTTGACTACACTTATTCTGTGTCAGAAACCTATAATGTGTCAAATATTTAATTACAATCCAAATTCAGACCTGTATCAAGTTTGAATGTTGTGACCATTTTTGCCCCAACTGTTCAGGGTTGGACCTCTACAGTTGTATCCAGCTGCAATTGGCGAAGCAGTTTATTTCTTATTTTGATGAATTTTATAAATACTTGGTAATTGATCAACTTCCATATACATTCAATAAAAGTATATTCACTTCAAACTTCACAATTTGTTAATGCTAGACATTTTGCAAATAAAACACCATTTATAAGAAGAGAGTAGAGTAAAATACCATTAAGATACAACTAAGGAAACCCACTGATGAGTGTATTGGATTGTGAAATCAACTTGTGGTAAAGTTAAATAAAGGTATTTTTTTTGACAACTCATCAACCTTGTAGAATTATGTTGAAAATTTTTCCTGTGCTCAGCATTTCTAGTTGGTCATTATAATATTAAAATGCCTGTTTCACATTATGTCACCTTTAGCCAATAGAATTAATATTGCAATTTAACTTGCTGACTTTTAATTAAGAATTTACATGATTAACTTTTTCAGATAAATCCAAGAAGAATAAGAAAGATGGTCAATCTATAAAACAAAAGACTGGAAATAGAGGATTTAAGATACAAGATCTAAGGTTTAAAATCGATAATCAGAAGAGATAATGATTGAAAAATTAGTGATGTATCTGTTGTTTTGAAAAATTATTGTTTAATAAATTATTAACAGCTGTTTGTTCCTTTACAAAATAATTACCACTTGATTTTCTCAAAGGAGATTTTGACTAGAATAAATGTAGAACCAACACAGTGATAAAAAGCCAGTTGAGATGAGTAAAATAATTTTTCTGGTTCTCTTTGAAATTTTTCAAAAAATTGATGAGGGAGGGAGTGTCAGAGTATTTAATATTTGTATTTATATCTATATAAAATCATATAAGTCAAAGAAGGATGTATAACAACCTAAAGGTGAAAGGTTGAGAAGACAATCATTAGGTCTTAAAAGTAACACATAAAATTAAAGATTCAACAAGCCCTGAAAAACCAACCAAAAATTGTGGGCACATAAGTTTGTGCATTTGGGTTTTTTTTTTTTATAATAAATGAATAATCTGTTGAAAAAGTTTTTATTTTTAATTCCAATATTGATCAATTGTGCAGGTAAGACCCTCCTTAATAGTAATTTAAAAAAAAACACTCCTGTGATAGTCCACCAGTGAAGTATGTGACATGACCTGTTATCAAACTGATCGACCACAGTTCATTTATTGATAAGTGTTCCTCTCCACCAAGTGTTGTTCATTTGAAATTCTGACCCAATAGTTATTTCTTTCCTCCAATCAAGCTGTTCAAGTGGTCAGCAATTTTACCAAACCACTGTAGAAGTAACACAGTCAAGTCATCAATGTTAGTAGTGCAAAGTGAAAAATAAAGTATTCCATTGCTTACAATTCTGTTCGATTTGAATTCACTTCATGTTAACTATTATAGTGCTACTTGTAATTTCTATACTGGTACATATTTATTGTATAAGAATTTTGAAAGATAGGGTAGTAAAAATGCTCCTCAAAACTATTTGAAAGCATATAGTAATTGTGTCTGTCCTTCTGTGTGTTCTTTTATATATCCTTCATTCCATCTGTCTGCCCAGGTTAAAGTTTTGGTTGAACTTATATTTTACAATGTATGGTATTTTTCTGTCACATCAATTTGAAACTTAGTACACATATTCATTATGAAGTAAACTGTTTAATATAAGTCAAGCTAGATAAAATAGGCAATTGCTTGTAATAGGCAGTAGTGGACCACCCGATGTATTTTCCTATATATTTGTCCTTCATATATCTGACACGAAATGTCCAAACAAATGAATTCTGAAGCTTTAGGACTTAAACCTGTATAAAGATTATCTTGATTCATTTAGTAATTATAATCAACTTTGAATTTCTAGTTTATTTTTCTATTTCTAAATGGTAAGTAGCACTTTTAATTCATGGAGAATTTGCATTGTAGGTCATCAAAATCACTTTGATTATTAGCTAACCATCAGAAGACTCCTTAAATGAGTTATTGCCCTTAAATTAAGGCAACAGTAGTTTATTAATGTTCACATCATTAAATTGATTAGGAAGAGACAAATCTAGACAACAAACAAAAGCTTGGTGAATGGCATGACTTCCAAAAGGAGTGTGACATGGTGTATCGACTGTAAGTGTCTCCTGCTATGCATACATCACCTGCCATAGGAATTCTGACTCAGTCAAAATGTCATAAACAAGGATGTTTTAGTAATTTTCGATTTTGTGCCTTTTATTTTGAGAAATGTAATAAATTCGTTAAAACTGTAAACCACAAAAATGATCCCCAATATAAGATGTACGAGAATTCCAATATGTCCGAAACCATTTGATAACCCTTTATAGTAGTTATGGCCTATAAAAGGCTATTAAAATTGAGAATGGAAATGGGGGAATATGTCAAAGAGACAACAACCCAACCAAAGAGCAGACAACAGCCGAAGGCCACCAATGGGTCTTCAACGCAGCGAGAAAATCCCGCACCCGGAGGTGGTCCTCAGCTGGCCCCTAAATAAAATTGTGTACTAGTTCAGTGAAAATGGACGTCACACTAAACTCCAAAACATATAAATGAACTAAAATTTAAAAAAAACATACAAGACTAACAAAGGCCAGAGGCTCCTGACTTGGGACAGGCGCAACAATGCGGCGGGGTTAAACATGTTTTGTGAGATCTCAACCCTCCCCCTATACCTCTAGCCAATGTAGAATAAAGAAAAACATAGCAATACGCACAGTAAAACTCAGTTTAAAAGAAGTCCGAATCCGATGTCAGAATAGGTAACAAAAGAAACTAAGCCAAATGACAATGATACATAAATGAACAAAGGACTACTAGCAGTTACTGACATGCCAACTCCGGACTTCAATTAATTTGATTGAAAGATTATGTGTTCATCATATGAAAATCAAGTACAATCCCTCCCGTTAGGGGTATGTATCATACCTTCATAAAATATATGAGAAAAACATAACCTGTATCATGCCAACAACTGGTTTTAGAATAAATGTGTTTATTTCCGATGCAAAGACCCTATGGGTGAATCAATATTAATACCAAAATATGAAATCCTTAATGACTTGACAACAGTAGCGTAACTATATCCTTTCCGAATAAGTCTGTTTAAAGGTTTGGTTAGCTTTTGCGGTGAATGCCGACATTTTTGTGCTTTGTAAAGAATATTACCATAAAATAGTGGATGTGAAATACCTGAACGTATAAGATGTCTGCATGTTGATTTATATTTACGAATGATGTCCTTGTACCGATGATAAAATTTAGTAAATGTTTTGACTAGTTTGTGATATCGAAAACCCCGGTGTAATAATTTTTCAGTAATACAGAGATGTCTTTCCTTGAAATCAAATACGTTGTTACATACACGAGCGAATCGAACAAGTTGAGATATATTGAGTTTTTGCCTATTATCTCTAAAACTATTAAAGATACTAGCTGAAAACAAGACCAGCAATGCAAGATCTACAAAAATATGATATAACCTATGGGATGACTCCCTTTATGAGATATTACCCTTGAATGACTATATTTTACTTATTTTCACGTTTCTACTTTTATTTCAGTTTTTGACAGGTGAGCATAAATTTAACAATTTCCCCCAAATGTAGACATATCACCGGATTTTTACTTGCATTAGCAACACAACAGGTGTCACATGTGGAGCCGGATATGCTTACCCTTCTAGAGCACCTGAGATCGCCTCCAGTTTTTGGTTGGGTTCGTGTTGCTCAGTCTTTAGTTTTCTATATTGTGTTTTGTATACTTTTGTCTGTCTTTTGATCCTTATTTTTTTTTACCATGGCGTAGTCAGTTTATTTTCTACTATTGAGTTTGAATGTCACTTTGGTGTCCTTTGCCTCTCTGTTTGAGTCCTATTTTAAAGACCTCAACAAAAGGCTGAAATTGCATAAACACATGTTCAGCCCTTTGACCCACAACCTTATTCTGTTTTATATTTTGCAGTGATAATCATTTTGAAGGGCACAAAATAAAACACAATTTAGGCATTTTAATATTTATATAACCACCACAAAAATATGACGAATACATTGCAGAGTATATCAGAGGACAAAATTATATGCATTAAATGTGGTTCCACCAACAACCTTTTTTTAAGGCACCTGTCTATTAAGGGCACTTGCCTGGTTTTCCATGGTTGCCTTTCACAGACAGGTCTGTCTGTATGTGACGAAATTGGGGTTTTTGTGTGAATGTCGCAGTTCACTAAACATGGAAATGGGATAGTGCAATCAGGACATGGTGTCTTATGGACACATATTCTTGTATTAATTTACATATTTCTCATAGAATCGGATAACGAACATTTATACGAAAACTTAACATTCACCAAACATGAAAATGTCTTCAAGGTCAGATGAACCCTGTCAAATGGACCTGTCACATTACATTCCTTTTATGCACTGAATATAGTATCTGTGAACCTTACGTCATCCCAACCACTTAACATGCATGGACCAATAAGCATTTTTCAAAAGAATGTCTCAAATAAGAACATACAAGACATTTTTGTGACTGTTATAAAACAATTGTAGTCACAGTTGAACATTGTGTTAAAGTTTAACATGACAAAAAAGAAAATTAATGAACCAATGCTAATTTTTCATTTTTCAAAATACATTTGAGAATATATCAATTTCTTCAAAAAGTAAAATAATTTTATTAGGTATAAACATTGAAATACTGTAAATTCAGAAATTATTGCGAGGTTTTAATTAATGCGACTGGGCGATAATCGCAATAATAAGAACTTGTATTCTGATATCTGATAAATTAAAGCGTATGCAGATTTTCCTGAAATCGCAATAATAAATCTCGCATTTTTGTCCTTTCTTCAAAAATCGCTATAATAAATGCTCGCTATAATTTCTGAATTTAAAATAATAATATTAATGTTATGTCTGTAAAAAAAAATTAACCTTTGACGTCGAACAATACCATGAAGTCAAGGTCAGATGGACATGTATAATACCCACCAAATATGTTACTGGTGTGTGTCTTCTAGTGAATTTAAGGGGATGGCAACAATTTTCATCCGATTGAAATCAATTGAACATCACTTCAAGGAGAACCTTCAAACAATTACTTCATTTCAACCCAGTTTGTTTAGAATTTGAAAAGCTGTTCCGGGGGAGAGAAAAATGTAATTTTTCATAAGGTTTTAAATGGACATTGTGTCACCATTACCATGGTTGTGAACCAACAAAAGACATTAAATTTGGATCGTTTGAACATTACGCCTTTTAGTTTTAGTGTAGAAGCTTTTTGAAAGTTGGCCAGTCAAAAGAAAATATTGCACTTTTTTTCTGATCGGAATCGAGGGGTCCCGGCGTGTTTGTAGAAATCCTCATTACAAAGTTCGATTAGAATTGGATCAGTGGTTTCAAAAAATATGAAAAAGTTACGGACGACTGTCATATGGACATAACAACTACAGAAATTTCATACAATGCCATGAAAATGTGGTTTGTAAAACCTTTTTTCATATTATGAATTATCTACAAAAAAAAAACCAACAGATTAAAACAAAGACTCAAAACCTAAAGTACTGGATTTCAATTTCATCCTGTAAGAGTCTAATACTTGCGTGCAGGTTTACTGTTTACATTATGATTGAG